CCGACGGGAGATACAATGATTCATTCTTCGTCTCACTCTCAACTAAAAGAATGATAAAATAATTAGCCACAACAGTCAACAACAACAAATAGTCATTGCCCATCCAGCATACTGACTTCCATTGTTTGTTGTTGTTGTTTTCTCTCGCATACATTGGTCAGTTTGGTTGAGAGTCAATAGTTAAAGATTTTTTACTCTATCACTCTTCTACACATCCTTCAAATTTGTGCAATTAGTTCTGTAACCATCTCAGATATGTTTTTTTAATGTGAGAAGTCAATAAAAGATGAATATGAAGAATGATACTATAGTGTGATGTTCTTATCCCCACAAAATCATATTTCATCACCTTAACCTATTTGAAACAAAATATACATATGAAAATTATTATTTTATCCCTAACACTGTTGTTTTAACTGTTTTATAGAAACGATTAGATCGAATAAGTCATGAGAGGTTTGTGTGAAGTGTAACTAGTTTTGAATTGTTTTTATCACAAATTTATATCAGTCACTTGAGAAACTAGGAAACTCTATGGGCAACTTCTTCGTCGTAGTTTGAGAAGAATGAGTTGTCCGTACACTATTCTGGGGGTTGAATTTGCCATCCCAAGCAAAGAATCGAGTCCCTGAAGGTATCAGGTAGTAGTGGCTATCAAGTACCCTAAATTTCAACCATACTGCGTCTCGCTACCTAACTTCGAACATTTTAGACGATATCGAGTCACTGAGGTCAATTGGCAAATTAAATCTTGCATGATAAGATTCAATCAGTAATAAACAGCAGACAAACGTGGTATTTGCAGGACTTTAGAGAACATATGCTGCTACTTCTTGCTCCCTTGGTTTGCTCGAAAACAGTTCATAAGTTTCTTAGACTCGACAGCATTAGGTGACCAGTTATTTCGAAAAAGTATTCCAAAGGTTAAGGGTAGGATTAGTGAGTATTTTCTATTTGTATGCAGAATTGGTGTGGTGTATAACTTTGAAACTAGTTATGTTGAGTATGAGGTAGGTTGGATGAAATGAAAGTCAGATACCTCACAGAAGTCTAGATAGTTAGGCTGCAGTAAGACTCACTTGTTCTGAATCATTGGTGAATGTTTAAGTCAACTAGGTACGACGGGGTTATTTACTGCTGTAGTCTTGGCAAAGTGCCGAAGCATACGGCCGTCTATTTTTCAAATTTACGCTGAAACCTGTGCAGTCTCAAGTGTAGATTGGTGTGTTCGGTAGACATTGTTTAGTAGATCTCGCTTCGTCTTAATAGGCGGTCAAATGTACAATTCTACATAATGAGGCAGGTCATTCGTTTTGGAGTTTAATACAGCTAATATCGACGATATGTGGTTTCTCAGGCCAGTCTATTAAGGGCCGAGGCATTTTATTGGTTCAACCCTATTAAGTTTTGTTTGCTGTATGATGCTTCCTAAGTAAATCAACAGAAGATGCGGACATCACTTCCTCCTGTAATGGGCTCCCAGTGGGTAGATTTGTTCTTTTTTATTTACGCTCAACTGTCATGTCTGTTGAGATATCCTAACCTATTTAAAGGTGAAAGAGAGGATACGTGAAGTCAATCCTCCGTATCCCATACTGCATAGTTTAATCAACTAAAAGGACCTACATTGTCAAATCCTACTAAGCACGGTAAATCACAGAACTGGTATGCTGTCCGTCATTTTACAGGTCTGATTAGACCTTAAGAGCTTGGGATCTGTACAAAATGACATGACATGGACCTAAGTGGGGCTGTGCATATGTGGGTATATAAACGTCTGTTGGTAAATATTTAATGTTATTGGCATCTTATGCATGTTGGGTCTTGTAATTTCGAAATGTTGCAGACGATTAGCTGTTTGAATAAGCATAATCACAATTAAGTCTAGCTTAAGAAGGCTTTCAGGTTGTGCTGGAATGCCCATACATCGGTGTTTTTCACTACCTCTCATTGGATGTCAACTTTTAAATTACGATGCAAGACAGACTTGCATTTCTGCAGCTCACTAGTTGTTATACCCTAGTGAAGATTAAATTACGGGTTACTTTTGGAATCTAATAATGGTCTGATATCATATATATTCTTATTGTGTAACTACTCAGTAACTAGATTACATATACCTACGTTCCCTTTATTATAAGCTTCATTTCGACCTATAGATTGTTATTATACGATTTTGTACTCTCATATTGCACTCAGTTTACTAATTACCATCACCCATGTTCACAGCCACTTTTTGGCTTGGTCTTGTGTAAATGTTATTTTCTATTTTATAGTGAGATATGGTCTGTTTGGACGGTAAATAATCCAAATATGTTTGAAATTAATGATTCACATAGTGGATGCTGTTATTGGCGTTCTGGACTCAAGTGGACGGAATAGGCGAACAAAGGATCAATAAGGACGCTAAACTGCTCATACCGGTCGATCGTCATTGATTTAATACAGTACTAAGTTTGAATAACTCGTATTTCAGTTGGCGGGTAAATCACATGATAAAGTCGCAACGATATCGATCATATTTTATAACTTGTGTTAAAATTCATCGTCCCAGTATATAGGTAGTTCACTGATTGATTGGATTCATGAAAATAGTAATACAGTAATGCAGTAATTTATCGCAAGTGTCAGGAATGGAGCCCATTCTAACTTGTTGGTTTTCCTATCTAAGTGGTGTAGCAACTAACAGGACATTCTATTTGTTCCCCATTGTCGCTAGTCAATTTAGTAGTATTGCTTATGAGGCTACTGTTATCCTCACTTAAGTTCTATGATTGAACTGAGTAATTTGTCAAAGATTATACCTCGTCGTGATCTTCCTTTATCGTCTGTAACGCATTTCGTAACCAAACTAGTGGTTTACATGTGACAACGGTTTCAACAGCAGCTAGGTTAATGTTTCCTGTTGTTAACTTCCTCATTTCCTTATGGCTATCCGGCTAGCGCCAATAAAAGTACTCGTTATAGACATATTCAGTTATTTATGGCCCACTGATGTAACTCAAATTTAGCCAAAAGATGATGCTAACAATCCATATATACCAGCTACCCTCATATGTAATTACTGACTTGATTTGAGATGGAATTAGATACAAAAAACGAGAATGAGTTTTATAAACTCGTTGCGCTTGACCGATAATAAGAAATTCGAGGCGAAGAATATAAACAACCCAACTTAGTTTGATAAGGCGTGGCTCAATCTTTATAGTCAGGCAAAAATAAGCTAAAGACGTGTGAGGAATAAGGTGAGCGATACACCTCACTCAAGAAGAACGAATAATTACGACTGTCTGCTCGTTAGAACAACCCATGTGTTGTGTTATGTTTTAAATTTTGACCCTCTGTACCCTGACACCAGAAGCCGTTAGTCGTTACGGTTTATTAACTGATGCAGATGGTCTAGACTTTGATCGAACGGCAGGAAATACAAAAACTACAGACGTACTTTTTAGTCAGCAATCAATAAACAAACGTTGACTAAAGACTCCCAGCTGACTTGAATGTGCCACTAAAAGATTACTGAAAAGAAGAAATCATGAACATTCATGAAATACCGTCAGAGAGATTAACTGATTTAAACAATCCTGTTTAATATGCATATAAAATGAAAGCTGTCCATATATGATTCTCGGACTAACTTGGTTTTATTACATTAACACACGTTACGAATGAGGAGTATTCTCGATAGGATTAAATTTGTCCTACGGATATTCTAATGGAGCTGTAAACGCGATAATGGAGAGTAATTGTCTATGTGAAAGCTGTAGTCTGAACAAAGACAACTTGGCTTTAAACTTTGTTTGTCCCTAAACATCAAAATATTTTGATTTATACAATAATTAAAGAAATCAAAGTCATTTGGTAGAACGCACGAACATACCGACCAGTATTGTGTGTTTTATCGGAAAGAATAAAGGTTATGAGTCACACTGATACAATAGGATGATGACGTTCTACATTTGGCATGTCGCATGTTATAAGGTTAGTCTACTGACACATCTGACCAGATTGACTTGGACGGTACTTAAGCAAAACTAACATTCGCCTGACCTAATGTACATTTCTAAAATATCTGCTTCGTCCTTCATCAACACTAGTACCATTTTTGACCCAAGAGATCATAAGCAAACACGTAGGACATGTAACATGAATGCTGAGAATTAGTCGAGCAAGATCAACTTTTTCCTGATGTGTCTACGAAAAAGTTCTGGCAAATGAAGAAGTCAGTCTCGACTACATGTTATCAGATAATCCATCTTCATCTAAACACTAATCGACATTTTCAGATAAAGATTAGTTTTTCGACTTTTAAGGCAACATAATATCTTGGTGCGGTCCTTTGTGATTATGAACACGAATCTTTTCTCCTTCTAATTTGTACAAAAGACATCCGCCACCAAATGTCATCTGATTAATTGCTTTTCGCTGGTGACGTGAAACTTTGTGAGAGACGTTTTACGACCGAAAATTTAAATTGACATTTCAAGATCATCAGAATTGACTTCAAAGTTGGGTGAAAAACATCGGACTTACCTTCAACACTTTAAGCAGTCCATCTGAGTCATAATTTAGGTTACGCGTACAAATTAAGTAATTCCTCTCTAGAATTTTACCAAGTTGAACTGGATCAAGAATTCTTGATATCCTACGATCAGGTCTGAACCAACTAAAGCATAGGTATCTGAGAGCTGAGCTTTCAATAACTAAGAATACCCCGAGCACTTTTTGGCAGTTTATTAAACAGCTACTAAGCTAAGTGTCACATCAAGTGGTATAGATGACTTCCTAGTTGAATTCCAGGATGAATCTCAGGACAATATTTGTTAATAATATACTAATATTTCTTTCTTTGTTGTTAAATATACATATTTTCTATGTCTGACGATATCGGCGATACACTGCTTGATACGGAAACTGTTTGAGTAAAATTGTTTTCCATTTCTTGCAGAACTATATGAACCTATGAACTCTGCGTTTGGTTACTTCAGTAAATATTCTTTAAATCTCGCGGTATTTCAAGTGTTGTTTTTGGTGAGTTCGTTGATTTGAGATGTGCTCCATATGCCCATGAAGTCTATTAGAACTGTTATTTGGTGTACACTGATCATTAAATTTATTATTAGCTTAAAAATTTCTAAAATATTATCCGCGTTTTATTTGTATTTGGCACCATGTTTTTGAACTTTATCTTTGAAGTTGTTTCATTCGATTTTTTGATATATAGGCTAATCAATATCTTCCGTCAATCAATTTGTTCAAACTATATCTAGCATAACGGAATATGAATCTTTGCTGTTGTTAGTTCGTGATTTTTTCATTGACACACATATCATAATTGTTGATCGGCACATTTGTGTTTCTCGACTTTGCGATGTTAGGAGATTACGTTGTTTTCAATACATTTATGTTTAACTCACATTAGACTGATATGTGCTGTTATTTGATTTGCCACGATAAGGTCGTTGTAGTCTTCTAGCTTTTAAGAATTTTGCCTTCTCTGTTGTTTGCTCAAAATAACTTATTAATTTGTTATGTTGAGAACCGTGAGACTTTTATAAAAATATGCTAGAGTTCCATTCATCGGATATAGGGGAAATGACACTCAGTTCGTGAAAAGTTGTAAATGACATCTCACATTACACATCGTTGATCTTTAATACCGAATCATGTACTTAAGTCCGAAGTTTACTTTCTTATAACTTACATCTTGGGCATATTAACTATTCTTATTTGTTCCTAATCTTTCAGTGTTCCTATTTTTGGTTCACTGGTTAGGTCTTAACTCGTTGTACTACTAGATTCACATTTAAAAGTGAAATGCGTATTTGGTGCTCACAGTTTAATTTCAAGTAATTGCAGACATTAGATAAGACCAATTAAATAATTTAGCAAAGTATTTTGATTTAAGTCTTTTAAGAGTTTTACTTATAAGATACTAGAAAAATTTGGTGAAAAAACGCCAAAATGTTTTTCAAATTGTTCATATTTTCGTTTTATTATATACCGTGATTAAGTGCAAATGTCTTACAATGCGTTAAGTGATAGTAATGTTCACATATATGCTTTTTATTTGAAGTAGGTGGGTATTAAAATTGTTGCAGCCAAATGTTTGTCCGTAAGTATTTATTCGCGCGTTTGTAGTTCGGAATTTAGTTATGGATTTGCTTTTTGTTGTGCAGTTTCCATAGTTGGTTCATTCATGTATTTCGTGTCTGAGATGTTTTAATTAGTAATACATCTAAAACCCTGGACTATTGAGTTGGAATTCGTAGCTTCTTTTCATTAAAGGGTAGATTCAAATTATGTAGGCATAAAGGGTGATCATTTTGTTTAGATCTTCATGACTTAGTGAAATTCTTGAGTGCTTCACAGAAGACCAACCGTCAGTTACTAGTTTAACAGTGTAACTGACGTGTCTTACTATAGGGATATGCGATCGGTTTTGGGGCAAGAGCTTGTACTCTCCAAATTGAAGTGGGTTAAAAGCTGATCACTCTAAACACTAATTAACAAACCCACTAAAACTGTAGGGCACACAGAATTTCAGTAAGCTGCATCGCATAAGTGGCTGTTATCATTTATATGCATTGATGTACTCTCAAAAGGACTTGGAAATTGCTACATTGGAATCGCTGTAGGTAAATATTTGGAGATTGTAATAAGTAGTTTCAGATGAAGGCTATGCGAAAGTGTTGGCATAGTCCTACTTTTTTCGGCATACTTCCTTTCTTGATAGACCAATAAATAGTTTTCTTACATATAACCATTGTTTTTTTGAGTTTTCGTAATCTCATTCACTCATTATCTTTAAGCTTTTTAGATGTCAATTAGTGATGAAGATGCTGATAATCCTCTACTGGAAAGAAAATATTCCATAACTCGTGAAATTTATACTATGGACAAATTTCTACAACACTATCCTAAATCGCCAGAAGTACAAAAATCATTTTCGCCATATAAGATTTTGAAAAAATGCACTTGTTCGAAACTCGCCAGCCTCCTATCCTTTGTTTTCCCATTTTATTCTGTTTTGGCTCCTTTTTACAACCTACAATCATTTTTATCAGATCTGGTTGCTGGCTTAACACTTTCAATAGTCCATGTACCCCAAGGTTTGGTATTTTGGTTTGAGTCTAACTTCTTAAATCACAGGAATGGCATATGGTGTTTTAGCCGGAGTAAAACCAATCAATGGATTGTACACCTCATTTTTTCCTGCTCTGATTTACTTCTTTTTTGGGACTTCACGCCATGTCTCTATAGGTAGGCTTTTTTAGCATTTTAATAAAGTCATTTACCAAGCATAGGTTGATGTTAGGTAGTTGGAGGTATTTTTCAGGAAACTGTGTTATTCGACATTGCTTGAGAAGGCTTACTTGTAGTCTAGATGAGATTAATGCTTCCTTTGGAATTTAATTTCACGCTACCTAGATTCATATTCTGTGATGTCACCATTGAATTATTGGGACTATAAATGACCTTTTAGATAGATAAATCAGTATAAACATTTTTATATACTCAGCTCTGAGCCATGCTTCATATGTAGTGACGCAAACACGTAACTTATCAGTTAACGGCTGGATTCTTGATAATTCAATACTTTTTAATCATTCGGTCAAACTATCATTATCCTTAGTAGTTATTGAAAGTAATATTTTTCGATTGTTTCGCTCTATACATTGACAGACAACAACTCATTGTCGCCAACACTCTAACCGTTTAAACTAAAAGCTTTGTATATGTTCACATCTAAAGTGTAAAACAAGTAAGTAGAATGAGGAGGTATAACACTTCAATAATACACCATAGGGTTTTACTGTAATGATTGATAAAATAACATACAAGCAATATCATTAAAGCTGTGAAAATAAGCTTTTTAAATGGAATTCATCATAAGTTCATGAGACTGAGTTTTCAAACAACGAATGGGTGTAACTTCGTTTAGGCTGTTTGTAAAGAAAAAGTCGACTGACTTATGCATATAACCCCTCATGGAGGGGCATAGGCTGCCCACCAGGATTCTCCACCCAACTCTGTCCTGGACAATCCTTTCCAGTTGCTATTCATTCTTATGATGTCTGCTTCCGATTCCCGACGCAGTATGTCCTTTGGCCTTCGAATTTTCAGTCTCTCTTCAGGATTCCAAGTCAGTGCTTGCCTCGTGATACCATCTGATCATTTTCGTAATCTATGTCCTACTCATGTCCAGCACATTTTCTTCATCTCCTCTTCGTCTGGTAGTTGGTTTGTTCTATTGCAAAGTAGGTTTTCGCTGATGGTATCCCGCCAACGAATATTGAATGTCTTGCGTAGAGAGTTGTTTATAAATACCAATACATTTTAGATGATGGTTGCAGTAGTTGTCCAAGTTTCAGCTCCTCACAATAGAACTGTCTTGACGTTCGTTTTGATGATTCTGACTTCGATGTTGACTGACAGTTGTTTTGAGTCCCATATGTTCTTCAATTGTAGGAATGCTGTCTTTGTTTTACCAAACCTTATCTTTACATCTGCATGCAGGTACGTAAAAGTATCCACCTGTCCTAGAGTTTCTCGATCAAATGTGACTGGGTTGGTGTTCAGCGTGTCGTATTTGATTATCTTACTTTTTCCCTTGCGTATATTGAGGCCTACTGATGCAGATGTTCCTGCCATACTAGCTGTCTTCACCTGTATTTGTTTTTGTGCATGGAATAGTATAGCTAGGTCATCCGGAAAGTCCAAATCGTCTAGCTGTACCCAATCTGTTCATTGTATTCCATGCTCCTCCTGAGTTGTGGAGATCTACATAAACCAGTCAGTCACCAGTAGGAAGATAAAAGGTGAGAGTAATCAGCCTTGTCAAACACCGGTCTCCAATTGATACACCATATTGTTTACTAAGGTTCTCCCATACACACTGTCAAACGCTTTCTCATGATCGCAATTTAGTTTGGACACAACCGATTTATACGGAATCCAACCTGTTGATCTCCAAGTTGGGCCTCTACTGAATCTTTCATCCGGTTCAGTGACAACCTGTTGTACTTATAGTGAAGTGGTGCTTCTCTAGTTCTCATACGTGCTCAAACGATACCCTTTCTTTGGTGACGATCTTGATAAAGTGTCCTTATTTCCAGTTTGTTGACACTCGTTCTTCCTCCCAAATTCCCCTGAATAGAACGTGGATTATCTATGAAGTTACGTCTGTGCCTGACTTTAGTGCTTCGACTGGTATATTTTCAGGTCTTGCTGATTTCTTTAATCATTGGTGTGTTATCTATAAGAAGGTCTATAGGTGCTGCTTCGATATCCGGTGGATTCAATGAGGCTGGTCTATTTAAGAGCACCACGAAGTGTTGCACCCAGGTGTTCCTCTGTCTTTGAATTTCAGTGATTGGGTTGTCTTCTTTGTTGTTGACTAGTCTCTCTGGTTTACTATATTTCCCTTCCAGTTTCTTAATTGTGTCATATAATTGTTTCATATTACCTTCTCTTGAAGCTTTTTCCACTGTCTTTGCTAGCTCTTCCACGTATTTCTGCTTGTTGGCTCTAACGCTCTTCACTCGTTCGTTCGTTTCTGTGTATTCAGCTTGTACCTTGACTTTCATTGTTCTTGTTCAGTTTTTGTTTATTGCTGTCTTCTTGTTGTTCTTTCTTTGAATTTGGCCCATGATTTCGATAGAGATCTTTCCTCATGATGACGCTTCTTGCGGTCCAGGACCTCCTAACACGTTGAAGTTAGTGCTTCTTTGATATGTGTCCAGTTGTTCTCCATAGTAGATTCCTGTTATTTGAGTAGATCTTGTAAAGCTTGGAACATGTTGCTATGTGGTACTTTGAATTCTCTCAGTTTGTCATTATCTCGAAGGCTGTTTTAAACTTTTGTAATTCTGTTTCTCCAGTTGTCCAGTGCTCTTTAAGCTTCAATTTCCATCGTGTCAAGCACCAGGTGATAATCCGAAACCATGTCAGCTTTTCTACTTGTTCTCACATCCTCCATGGATCTGCCTCTGTGATCCAAATATGATCGATCTTGTTCTGTGTAATGTGATTCGGTGAGACGCATGTACGTTTGTTTATACGTTTGTGGGGGAATATAATCCTATTTACAATTATTTTGTTGAATATACATAAGTTTGTAAATCTCTTACCATTCTTGTTCTTTTCTGCCAGTCCATGTCGTCCCATGATATCTTCATACCCTGTGTTGTCCATTACGACTTTGGCGTTTAGGTCCTCCATCATGGTTGTCAGGCGTTTCCTGAGCACTTCTGTACGATCGACTGTAGCTTCTCATAAAACTGATCTTTATTGTCCTCATCACTACCATTGGTAGGGGCATAGCATTGGATAAAATTCATTGTGGTCCTCTACTTTGTTTTGGAGGATACATTCACGATTTTGGATACATGAGACTTTCATCTTATGGATGCTTTTCTTGATTCTTTGTACATCATCAGTGCAAATCAGTGTGTGCAAAGCATTTTATTCTTGATGACTTGAGTACAACAGCCTCTCTTCTGAATCTAATGTTTTCTGTCCAGCTTGAGTCTAATTGGTTTCACTTATGCTGAAAGCCTCCATGTTGTATCTGCTCATCTCCACAGCTATTTGACTGATCCTTCAGATCCCCCATATTGTATGGACTTTCCGTGTACCTATATTAATTGTTGGTCTGATTGCCAGAAGGGGCTTTGACCTTGTGACTTCCATGAACTTTGTCTGATACTCAACATTTCGTGATAATCACTCAGTATTGCTTTCTTTTCCATGGTTCACTTATACCGATTGTAACATATTCTTGCTGAACAACAGGTCAATGATAAAGGGTTTGTAATTCAACCTATAGACCTGAAATGTGATGCTCTTCTTAAATTTTGATTTTAACAGCTGAGTATTTGCACTAGTCCTCATATATAAGTGATGTTTTTTAAAGTCGAGTACGAATTCATACCTGGACAATAAATATATTATACCCTTTACTTCTTTTCAAAACGGTTAGTATTGGGACTTTTGAACATTACCCTTTTTATTTAACTGAGTCACGTCAATATAAAAGGGATGATATATCTAAGGATACTAATTCAATTACTACTTACCATTTTGTGTATTGTATTATATTCAATACTCAAAGTTCAGTGGGATGGTTATAACCGATCAAAGATATACATCACTCATGTTTTATAGATGTCATTAAGATTTTTAAATATAGAAAATTTGACACAAAATAAATTTCGTCTATCATAAAGGTTTTAATACTACTTTTGAAAGTATAATCCTACATAAAAGGATCAATTAAATAACTTTAATATTTTGGTTACATTTTATGTTATCATGTTTGTTTTTCTAAATTATAATAGAGTTTATGTCATTTGGTTATTTATGTTAGACTTTTCATCGATTGATTTTGGAACTTTATAAAATGATTTGTAACCAAGTTGTTAATTCATAATCACTCATTAATGAATATGATTTGTTTATCTAGTAGAAATTAATTAACCCGTCTTTAAGCGACAACTTTTTTTTTAATGATAGTTAGATATACTACTGAGCTATTTGAGCTCGAATACATCAGCCAACCGTTGAACTCACGATCTGGTGATTAAAATTGTTTATTTATTTATTTAAACACATAAACATTGGTACAAGGAGGTGAGTCAGTCAGTCAGCTACAAAGTAGGACCAGGCACATATGTGCATCGGTCCAGGTTGCCATACCGCATCAGCACAACGAGATGAACACCGGATTCATAGCAGTGGTTAGGTCAAAGGTGGTAATATATAAGAGAAAGATTGCATATAGAGATATACTACAAGAAGAAAGAATTGGTTCGTAGAAAGAAAGATATGAAGCGATTTTAATCTCTTAGTTTAAGGGAAGACAGAGAGTGTATACACATACACCATTGTGATCGATTCTGAGCTATGTCACCAAGAGTCTCCAACCATTGGTTACAATAATCACATGGACCTGAACCAAGTAGTCTTCACCTACCAACATGGCTCAGACTAGAAGTTAGTGACTTCAAACACTGATGCCACGTTTTGGTTTGGCCGCCCCTAACTTTCTTCCAACCATCTCTAATACCGGATAGCATTGCACGTCGTGGTAATCGGTGTTCGGGCATACGTAACACGTGGCCCAACCATCTCAGTCGATGAAGATTCATAACCTCATCGACTGATTTACCATCATTCCCTAATACAAGGAGGCACCAAATAGATATGCGCCACATAAATCGTTCGATTTGTGTGTGAGCTGGAATACTGCCCAGGTGACCAAACTGAAACAGGGATTAAAACTGTTAACAGGATGGAATCGTGATTCATTCATATTATAGTTGAAAGCTAATGATTGGTTTATTATTAAACTAATCAGCGCTACCAAATGATCTGGAAAAATCACTGGAGTATTCCTATGTAAATTTTATAAATACATGAACGTCCTTACTACATCAACTTATATTATTTTGAATTCTGAAATATATTTTTGTTTGTTTTCAAATCGTGCTTTAATCTGGGACTAGTTAAGTAAAATAGGTATATCTAAGGAATACTAGATCTTAGAAGACACGATAAGAAGTTATTCACTCTGATCATTTTTTTTTCACTGCTTCATACTCCGAATGGTTGTTTTTTTTTACAAACATGTCTTTGTTGTACATCCTTTTTGTACTCCTAGCCATTGCATAATTATTACATGCATAATCTGATAATTGAATTCATGAGTCAGTTGAAGCTAGATTACCATGGAAAACCTGGAAGTACTGGACAGTCGTTTCATCCTGGTAAAAGACTCCCTAGCAGTGCGCACCCACTACCCCGCTTCACGAGATTCGAACCCAAAACCTATCGGTGTCGCGCACGAACGCTTAACCTTTAGACCACTGAGCTGGCCGGCATCGAATGGTGTTAATGTCTAACTTCAACCAATTTGATTATAAGATATTTTATTTTTTGACGATTTATAAGATCATAGAATATAAATAAATTTTCTTTTCAATATCACCTATTTACCATATAAAATGCATTGAAATTCTATACTTTTATAGGTACATTTTCTGTTGTTTCACTTTTAACGGCTGATCCTGTTGATAGATTAACATCATTATTCGATGTAAACAATCATTCTTTAGAAAAATATGATATTTTTAATGAAAAACAAATAGATGATTTTCGTTTAACTGTTGTTATAACAGTTTGTATTTTGACTGGATTATTTCAAGTGAGTTTAAGTTATTTATATTTATAATCTTATGGTAATTATCACGTATATATTTTATAGTGAACATTGAAAAATCTATTCCTATGAATTTCAAATACTTGATCACCAATGGAATCCCAATTTTTCTTTCTATTTAACTGATTCCCTTTTGAGATTCTAAATTTGTATGAATTAGGGAACTATTACAAACCAATGGCAAGTGGATGGGAATTCATCAATTAGCGCCCACGAACGTTCTTACTTAGAACCAAAATTAGTGACTTTAGTTTTCTTAGCAAGTGCCATCTACATTACTACCTTCATTCAATCATGACTAGAGCCCATTTTAATTCCTTGAGGAACTTCCAAAATACTAATCAAACCAGATAGATGCTATGAAGTCTTGTTGATGAGTACATAAAAATATATGTGTAAAATCACTATAATTCTAAAAGATCAAAATAAATTCAAAGCCGAATGTTCAAACGAGTATAAAGCTCCACTATCGTAAAATAAAGTTACTAAATAACTTGGAGAGGTCTTAGAACAGAAGATAATTGTTTGTGCTAATTACCATGTATTGGCTAGACGATAATTTATGGACGAACCAATCAAAGATACCAGGTTTTGAATTTTGGTGCGAAATTAATTCACTCAGTTGGTTAAATATAATTTTGGCATTATAGCTGATGTCAGTTTGTGATGAAAAAATTAAATCTTATTCTTAATCCTAACGTCTAACTGTAAATTCTAATTCCTCACACTAATCTATAATCCTCATTTAACCCTAATAAATAGGTGGACATTCCAAAGTTATTTTTGGCGTTGCACAAAGATCGTCCATAATTTGTATTCTCACCTCAATCAGTTACTAAAACTATGGACAAAACACATTCATTTCTAGCTTAAACAGATGGAAAGCCCAGTCCTTGACGATATCTTCGTCAAAAATTTTGAAAGAACAAAATTACTGTCTTCTATCAATGAGACTACATTTTGTGTGTTGTAACGAAATAAATGAGGCACTCGAAAATTTTATAAAGTCCATCGTGATATCGAATGCACAATGAAAGGTGAATGAAATAATTCTTTCTATTTCTTGGAGAAATAATAAAACCTGACAAACTTAGTATACATCAGAAATAAACCTGGGGTCAGCAATATTTAAAAGTTTGATCTATAAACTTTAAATATGGGCTGATGGGAACGCTCTACCATTGAGCCAGGAAAAGAAGCTCGAGGGGAAGTTTTTTCAGTAGTAGACAGTTGTCCTCGAGAAAATGGCTGCCCTTAAATGTTTAGACTGAAATACATTGTTGAATACCGTAGTAAAATGAAAATTTACAAACTTGAAACGAAACATAATTATACGATTAATTTTCGAACGTGATTGAAGTCACCAAAAGAATCAATCAAGGACTAATGGCAGATTTGTAAAAAGTATTTTCCCATTAAACACAACGCGATGCTCAGTAACGCGAACAAAGGTAAATACGCGTCACATTCCACCTACGACTGTATGTATCAGTTTATATGTGCATATACAAAAGCAAAAAATCAGAATTTTATACATTTTGCTGAACATATACCTTAAAGTGTACATTTCTAAGGATAAAACAGACTTCGTACTTCGATAACATGCCAAATGCTAGACGTGTGATAAACAATGGATAAAATGAATGCATTCAAATTTATTAACAGACAAATTAACTCTGCCTTATTACGATTTCCGAAAGCTATAGCATGATGTATGCTACTTGTACGGACAAATAAGTAGTATGTATCAGTAATTGAGAGTAGAATTCTTACAAACAAAAGTGGAAAATAAAGAGAAAAGAAAGGAAAACACAATGCAGTCGAAATAAAAATAAGAATGAAAGACAGAGTTTCTATGGGGAAACTCAATGAAGATGTGCGAATAGTGTATTTAATGTATTATGCTCATGTTTTACAAATGCACTGTGTGATATTACATAATAATAAATTGGTTAACGCTATGCAAGACTTCTTTCATTACAATGGCAATTAGATTTAAACTTTACCTTTATATATTTTTAACAAATCAGAGGTTAACCATCAGGTAACTTGTTGGTGATAATAAAGGTACAAACTAGGAATTTCGACTTGGATATTCACGTTTACTAATGAACTAGACTATTGTTTTTTTTTTCCTGAAGACTTTTGGTGTGATTGAATCTATGTCAGTGTGTCTATTTTAACTCAATTGATCTGAATACCAGTGGATTTCACTAGACTATATAGACAGAAGTGTATGTCAGTCAGTCGTAACCAAGTTAGTATCGAGGACAGATTTTTATTTGTTCTTTTTCACACCAAATAAAGTGAACGAGATGCAACTAGCAAGATAAGTAGCGCATGTGTCGAACTAATACTAATTCTATCAGTGATGATAAGATAGGATTAATATTAAAGAATTTGGTTCAAAATGAAGGAGTGAACTAGTATAATAAAAGAAATAAAGTAATATTGCAACTTTATATTTCTGGTAGGATGAATAATTAATCCGTATACGACACTGCGACTAATTTCTAGCTATTTCATCCATCTTGAATCATTATCACATAGATTATAAAAGCATGTGGTGTACACCTAGTAACATCACTCGGATAAACAGTTAGTGACTTTTGATTCATATGTATATTGTTTGTTTCATCTTTCCATTGATGTTTGAGATTGCGAATGATCAGTCTCATTTTGGTATATATTCCTTCTTTGTGGATTGCCTCGATATTGTCATTAGGTCACAATCACTTTAAACAGAGATGAATGGTGGCTAGCAGTGGAATTCAGGACGCGCGTTTCCTTCCGTCTGGGACTCGTCAACCAGATGTATATGCATATGAATTAAAATCCATTTCACTGCACAAACTAGTAGCTATCTGAACTTAGTAGCTAAGTAGATGACGCGATAGTCCTTAAAGTGATCGGTACTAGGTTCGAGTTTCAGAGTGGATATCAACTCTGCAATGCAGAGTGCATCGGGCTGATGAGTCCTGAGTAGGATGAAACTCTCATCCTAGATTCCACTGCTAACCACTGTCCATCTCTGCTTAAGTTAATGACTTCATAAATTGTTGCCATACAAAATGATGTAGTTATTAAATTATTGTAGTTTTTCTTATTTTAAAGTTATCAAATCTAAAATTACTCATCCATCTTTAATATGTACTCGTTACTGAATTTTTATCCTCTTTTTATTTTTCCTCTTCAATGTTTTCGGATTTCTGATCACTGGTTTCAAGGTCGCTTTGGGTATTCTTCGTCTTGGTGTACTAGTAGTTTATATATCGGAACCATTATTAAGTGGCTTTACTTGTGCATCTGCTGTTCATGTGTTCACTAGTCAATTAAATGGATTATTTGGTATACGGTTAAATCGTGCTACAGGACCTTTCCGTGTTTTTTATGTAAGTTTCAAAATATATGACCGTTTTTATTTGACATATCTTGGTCTTTGAAATAACATTTTGTGACTTATTACTTAAAAGTACATTTCAATTATCGGAGTTTTAGTTAAATGGTATTCTGAAGTTCCATATCTGAATACTGACTTTTATTAGGTAATTATTAAAATTTGTTTCGTTTCAGTATGGAACTCTCTAAATGACTGTAATCGAATTCAAAAACCTTTGATGCTAACTGCCTCTACTTGACATTTAAACAATTAAGTTGGTATCCAACAGTTAACATTCTTAATTCACAGTATTAATCAATTGTTATTAGACGGCTGGCTCCCTCCCAACGTAATTGAGTTCCACTGCTTCTCACTATGACTCAAGAGGTTACCTCTCAAAATTAGTGACTGGAAAGAACATAGATTTACGGAAACAAGAATTATTCCTTCAATATTTTAGACTAAGAGAAACTAGTAATAAAATAGTGTGTAACATATAAAACGACTTCCGCTAAGTAAATGAAAATTACTTTAGGTGATTTTTTGAGATTGTAGTATTTTCGCAGTTAAAATCACTGGTCGACCTAAACTAAACCACCATTGAAAACCTGGAAGCAATGAACGGACGTTTAGTCCTAGTTTAGGACTCCTCGGCAGTGCCCGTTTACGCGTTGCGGTCGAAATTAATACCGTCCTTTTTACTATAAGCTTTTGTTTGACCTATTGATCATTATCATATGACTTACTATCCCAATTTATTAGTTACAGTCTCATCCACTCACAACCACTTTTGGCTCGATTTTGTATAATTGTTAATTTATATTTATGGTGTGATGCGGTCTTTTTCGCTTGTATAGAAACTGCGTATGTCTGACATACATGATTTATACAGTGAAAGCTGAGATTGTGTTCTGGACTCAGACGGGTAGGGCTAGGAGAGAAGAATTAACAAAGACTCAGAATTGACTCTAGGCTGTTCATACTGGTTTATGCGTATGCATATGGTGCATCTACGCTTTTTAAACCGGCAAATTTTTGATGTGTCACGCGCCACAATACCAACATTTAGTTGAAGGTTTGAAAGTTTTTGAGTGATATCCATCCAGCCACTATCCATCTTTACTTATAAAAGCTTGTGAATTAAGGCAATATCGAGGCATACACAGAGTATGCACATATGCCAATAACAGAATGGTCAATTGCAGTCTTAAACCTCAACGGGAAGATACAAGTAAAACAATACCAAGTGAATTTAAATTAACCCCATTGCACAAGCAAGTGGCTCTCAGGACTCAGTAGTTGAGTGGATAACGCGACGGCGTTTGAAGAGAATGGTACTGGGTTCAAGTCCCAGAGTGAACATGAACTCTGAGATGCAGGCACACCCAACTGACGAGTCCCAAATAGGACGAAACGCGCGTCCTGGATTCCACTGCTAGCTACTATCCATCTTTGCTTATAAAATACAATTATGTATTTGTTCGATTATTAAATTTGACATGCACATCGATGATTCAGAAACCATTTTTCAATCTTGAACGTGCACTTTTATTTATTTATTTATTCCTTCATATATTACCACTGAATATCAATGATTAATTCTCACACATACATACATACCTACACAATCACACACATACAATTTATTATTCAGTTAATTATTTCCATGTATCAGTTTAGGGGTTGTGGAGATTGTTAAGTTTTTGATTGAGATCATGAACCGATTGATGTCAGACCACCATTGAAAACCTGGAAGCACTCGACGGATTGGTGGATTGGTTAAGGTTAAACATTAACACCATTGAATGCCGGCTCAGTGGTCCAGTAGGTTAAGCGTTCGAGCGCGAGACTGAAGGCTGTGGATTTGAATCCCTCGAGCGGGATCGTGGATGCGCACTGCTGAGGAGTCCTGCAATAGGATGAAACGGCCGTCCAGTGCTTCCAGGTTTTCAATGGTGGTCTGACATCAATCGGTTCATGATTTCAGTCAAAAACTTAACAATCTCCACAACCCGTAAACTGATATTTCCATCTAGTTGAATTTTTCACATGATTTGTAGTTAACTGACTCCTTTTATCCTATTTTACGAAAATCAACATTCAAATAGGATTGGATAAATATAGTATAGATTTGATTGGTTAATAGCTATGTATTTCTTTGATGATTTTAATTTTGATTATTACCCTGAAGAAGTTCAGACAAGTTAACTGAACGAAACGTTGGAATTAGTTAAATTTCAATCGCTGAGAATATTTGAAATATAATTTTCACATATAATGACTTCTTTATGCTCGGCGCTCGATTTCTATCAAACTATTCGTTCTTATCTTGACGAATATTCATTTCAGTTTATAGATAGCTCCTGGAACTTACCCATATATTTATGTTCTTCAGATATAACAAATCATAACAATTATTCCATTTATTCTTATGAATAGTAACTTCAAATTAACTAAATGTTCATAAATCATTTCAATAGGATAAATAACGGTAGATTCATTCATTTGAGTGTTTTGAGCAATAGAATCGTTGGCTATGGTGACACTTGAGGGGGAAGCCGAAAAAAGAAGTTTAAAGTTTGAAGTCGATGTAGGAGGAATAATAGGAACTGAAGACGGAGGTTGATTATGAATACAGTGGTCTTGAGTGCTGTTAGAGGTATGAGGGCGGTTATCAATTCCCGGTTGCCCACACCGTGGAAGGGTTCTTCTGGAGGTATCTGAAAAGGAAATCGGATTAGAAGTGGTCTTTGTGACCTGAGAGCGTGACCGCAGTGCCCAAGGGACAACTGCTTGAGGTCGGTCACACACGACCTTTTTATGGGTGATTTTTGTGTTAGCTCCGTACTTGTTGAGACCTTACCGCCGGAGACGGGTATCCGTGGGATAAGGGGAGGTGTGCATTTTTAGGATCGACCTTTTCTAACCTCACCCCTCCTTGTGGGAAGGCAGCATCGCTGTCATGCTGGTTTTCTGAAGGAAACACCTTACTGCTGTCACACCTCTCTACAGTCACCAGTACGACTTCGCCTTCAAACCTTGGGTTTGTTGCTTTTAGTCTTACCGCTCTTCAACCGACCTTTCTGACGTGGTACGACCTTGAGGAACAGTTGTTCCAGTCAGTATAGCTTGGTTGCTTCATCACGATAGGCAAGCGCGACCGCCACGTCAAGGTAGCAACAACGGTCGGGAGGTAGCTTTATATCTTTTTTCCACCAACTAATTCTTTCTTCCTGTACTATATCATTATATGCAATCTTTCTTTTTATATATTACCACCATTGAACTCACTACTTCTATGAACTCAGTGTTGATCTTGTTGTGTTATTGAAGTATGGCAACTTGGACCGATGCATATATGTACCCGATCGTACACTATAGGTGACTGATTGACTTGGTGACTAAAGTCAATGATGAATTCTTTTTATGAAAATTTCTATGGAGAAATTCTTTTTTTTTATTCTTTGTTTATCATGTATTATTTTTGTTTATTTATTTAGATAATTAATAATTTTATTCATATTATCAAAGAAACTAATCTTGTTACATTATTAATATCAATGATATGTATTACAATTATATGGTGTTTTAAACATTTTATCAATCCAAAAGTTTCAGCTATACTACGCTTTACAATTCCAATTGAATTAATTGTGGTAAGTTTGAGAAAGTAAGTTTATTTTTTAATAGTTGAATTTATGAGTCAATTGAAGCTAGACCATCAGAGAAAACCTGGAAGCACTTGACGGCCGTTTCGTCCTAGTATGGGACTCCTCAGTAGTGTGCATCTGCGATCCCGCCTCACGAGATTCGAACCTAGGACCTATCGGTCCCGCGCTCTAGCGCTTAATCATTAGACCACTGAGCCGGCCGGCATTCAATGGCGTTAATATGTAACTTCAACCAATCCATGTTTAGTTTTTTGTTGTTGTTAATTAGTCATAAGTAAATTTTAGTCAATCGTTTATTATGTTAAACTACAATGAAAACTTGTTCTAATCTTAGTTTATCTGAATATTTCATGAACAGTCAACTTTGTCAACACAAATATTTATTCTTTCTGTTTTTACTTTTCTTTACATTTCATGCATGCTGTGACATGTTTAACTGATATCATCTATAAAATTGTTCGTTTTCTCATCAAAAATTCACTGATCAGAGGCGATAATTACTTATTGTAAACATACTTTTCTTTACATATCAAATGTCTTATAGGGCAATACAGCAAGTACTTACTTTCAATATTGTTAATATGATTGGATGAACTATTCAATATACAGTTAACCAGAGAATCATGTACTTATTCATATCCGATACTTTTGATATTTAGTTATATTTCATTGAAAAAGTTTGGATTACATTAACTTAGCACCCAGCTGCTATGAAACTATTCGCTAAAATTTAGGTTTTTTGAGATGTTATCGCTTTCTGTATATCGTGGATTTGTACCACTTCAGCTAACCGTTGAAATATATCACTATGTACATTGGCCGATTACTACATGTTAAATCCATCAATCTGAATTTCAACAATCACCTATATTCTCAATAGGATTAGTGATCTATTTACCGATTGACACACCGACGAACGAATAGCACGCTTTTAGGTCCTCGCACTCCTCTTAACTCAGTAAGTAATCAGAAAACGCAGATTAGTTGGCTATCGTTCTCAATTTAATCATGACTGAAAACGCATACATAATAAACTTAAAATAACGGATCATACAACATACCCATTAAAAATTTATACTTCAGTCACAGTTATACTATAAGTATTAGAAACAAACAGCACATGACTAATCAACAATAACTAAGGGACAATAAAACATATAGCTATAGTTAGTAAATCCGATGAAAGCTTACAATAAAGGGGAATATATAAATTCAATAATACAGTTATCTACTATTTAAACAATAAAAAATGTGGATAATAATCTGAAAACGTTATGGAAGTTCCGAATTTCCCTATGTTTATTCCATTAGAGTTCAGATCAACGCTAGACATTTCTTATCACTACTATTATAATTAACTTGGAAACACTTCGTTTTCCACCAAATGCTCTGGAACGGCCATAGGTGACGAGTGTTTATTTTTCCTCTACAAATGCTCTCATATGCGATGTGCATATAGCCGCTGCCAGGGATTTCGTATTTATTGCCTTCTCGCGGCTGGGGTGTTGTTTACGAAATTGAGAGAACAATAAGCGAATGTCCAGCGCTTAGACGGGGTTGGTGGATACAGAGGATCTACCTCGGGGAGTTGGAGAAATACGATTCCAAAGCAATGTTGCACATAGGCTCCAGGATCCAGCCTATTGTTGGTCACCGGGTACTATAGGATCCGTACCTTCTAATGGTGCGCCAATGTAGGCCAAATGCTCAGAGAGTGCCCCTTTAGAAAACCTCCTGCTTTGGTTTGGTCAATCAGGCAGCAACCCAGTTCCCACATAAATTCTGTGTGGCGAATGTATATTTTAGTGCTATTCCGTATTAATATTTTTGTGTTTAAATGAATAAATCTCCTAGATATTCACATTATTATCATTGTTATCATGACTATAATCTCAATTAATCCTATATAAGATATCTCCGAATATGTTTATGAATTACACTCACATGATATTTTTATATTGATTGTTAGTGAATACATTACAATTAATTTTCATAACCCTTTATTAAATGACGTTTTGAAATTGGTCTATGTTATATATTTAGACCGTAATCGATGTAATAGTGAACTAGTTATCATATAGTGTTGTCTAATTCACTGACAACTTATTCCTGTATGCCTTGTGTCGGTCAATAATGATGCTATAATTATGAATTTATAAATATACAGCCCCTAATGTTGATTTTTTGGATACAGTTGTCATCTGGGAAACTTCTTGCCTTTCATTTTAGCTATGTTAAGTGAACATAATCGAATCAATCGTAAACGTATGTATAGGGTGGTGGAGATTGTTGAGTTTCATTGAAATCATGAACGAGTCTAGGTTAGACCGCCATTGAAAACTTGGAAGTACTAGACGGTCGTTTCGTCCTAGTATAGGAATCCTTAGCAGTGAGCATCCACAACTCTCAATGCTGAAATCAAACCTAGTACCTTCGGTTCAGCATGCGAACGCTTAACATAGATTGGCTTATGATTTCAATAAAACTCAACAATCTCTACAAATTCTCTATACTGATAACAGTTATGTGCTCATTAATGACTGGCTTCGAGAGGAAATTCCCGGAGTTCTAGTGACAAGTCATGAACAGTGGATATAATCTATATTAGGTGTGAGGCAATTACCCACCTAAATAAATGGAATACGGTTGTGTGATACCGTAGCTTGATTGAAGTTGTATATTGACACTTTTGGCCGTTGGCTCAGTGGTCTAGATGTTAAGCGTTCACACGTGAGACGGAAGGTATTGGATTCGACTCTCGTCTTCAGGATCGTGGTTGCGCACTACCGAAGAGTTAGGTTCTAGGACGAAATGAGTGTCTAATTTTTTCCAGGTCTCTAATGATGTTCTAGCATTCGTCGTTTCACTACTCCAGTGGTAATTGTTTGTATATACGTCTCAGTTATAATTGTTACCACTCGATTACGTTCACAATAGAATCGGAGCTGAATTCAGAATTCCACCTTCTTGATGTTCTACTGAAATGAAGATCAAGTGAGTCTCTGCAATGATTGGTGTACAGAAAGCCAACCTATAAAGAGCAGTATACGAATTCCCAGAGTTGGTTGCCGCTGAGCAGGACGAGAAATTTTATCCATTCTTTATCTTCAAGAGCCGGACGAATATGCACTAAAGGCACAGTTGATGATGAGCTAGATATAGCCGGATGAAAACTTAGAGAATGGTTCACTATTCAATTTCATTGATGGCAACCTAAAAGCAATACGTCAAATTAGAAGTACTCCCACACTAGTGAAGTAAATTTTATTCTTGAACGTTGAATTCAGGGGAGATATGGCAGTTGATATATTAATGAACAAACTGTCTAGATCCCTGAGAAATACTTTTTATTCAGCAGAGATTCGAACTGTTTTCTCCAGCAGGAAACTCATTCATGGAACTTTCAAGGATAAACTGCCGCTCTTGGCCACCTCAACGTGCATTTATAAGTTTACCTCGTCTTATGGAGCAGGTTTTATATGCCGTACTAAGCGTGCACTCAATAAATGAATATTTGAGCACTATTCTACATGGCTTTACTGAGGGAGACAACAAACTAACTTCCAGCTGAAAAGGAAATTAAGAAAAGATGTTGGAAGTGAATAGGTAACACATTGAGGAAATCATCAAACTGCATCGCGAAGCAAGCACTGACTTGGAATCCTGAAAGGAAACGAAAAAGGGGAAGGCCAAAGAACACAATGCGTCGGGTAGTGGAAGCAGACACCAGAAGAATGAATAGCAACTGGAAAGGATTACCCAGGACATGGTTGGATGGTGAATTTTAGTGAGCGGCCTATGCTCCTCCATGAGGGTTAACAGACATAAGTAAGTATCCTACACGGCCATCTCAAGGGGAATGCAAACCAATCAATAGCTCTGTCCTTGAGTACATGGTTGACTTGGGCCACAGCCCACCACGTGGGTCGTTTAAAATCCACCTCAGAGTAAAAAACCGACTCAAAAAAGGTTTGAATGAGGAATTTGTACACAGCTGAGGCTATAGCAATTCACCATTTTAAACTCGACCTCTGTGTAAAAAAAGCCATATTCAATCCCTTATTCTTCCATGGTCTTTCCTTCCTTTTGAATTCCACAAAATATGGGTGTTGAATATTACCTTCTCATTCTTTATAAAGTAGACTGTTGTCTTTAGTTTATATTCTATGGGTTATCACATTTTATTCCTTTCAAAACTATTAAATAACTTAAACTGTTAATGATTATGCAACCCTCTCTTCATGTCATACTTAAAAACTCTAATTACATTGAAATAATACTCCCATTTATAAATTATTATATTCAATGCATAAATTCTCTGGATAATCTTGATTATATTGTGCAACATCACTTCATTTTCATTGACTTCTATTTGAATAAGTTTGATTGTCTTTGATGATACTTATAAAACTCCATTATTTTACATGTAAACTACTACATACGATTGTACATCTTCAGAAAATGATATCGTCAAACAGAACATTTTCTCCACCGGAACATCTTTATCCATATATTGGAAATTCTTAAACTTAGTGAAATCTATGTAGTCGGTGTAGTTAAGAGTAAGATATTAAATGACTATTTCATTATATCTTTGTTATGGTTGATATAACCTATTTATCATCTTTTTAGCTTACTGCTGGTACTGTTATATCAAAATTTGGTCTATTAAATCAACGTTATGGGGTGTCGATTGTCGGTGAAATTCCTGTAGGGTGTGTTTTAATGAAATATATTTTGTGTTTATATATGTGGTAATATACACTGTTATTGACGTTATTTGTAAGGTTCTTATTAAAATTGAATAGTGACTAACAACGGAAATCAGGATGTTGATTTTGTCCTATTTGCCACTCGTCAGCTGGATGTACCAACCTCATCCCATTACTGATGTTTATATAGTGACTCTAACATAGTAACTTTCACTTCAAATGTCATAGTGTTATCCAGTAAATCATTGCTACTGAATTTTGGAGCAGATATATATTTCATCTGTGAATGTTTTATTCGCACGTTATTGATATTGAGACATACAGTTTATCATCTCTACTGTCATGTGTGCAGTGTTGTTTCAAACACTTATCTTTTGCATTCATAAGTCTATAGTTTCTAAAAATCGCATATATTGATGTGGCGAAAAAACGTTTTCACCATATTTGTGTTGACACTTGGTGCATGAGAGGTTTTGTATACAGGTTAAGTTGTACCTGAACCCCTCATTATCATTCAGACAATTCGGATTCCATTTTATGTGAAGTATTTTCGCTGTGATTTAAGGAACTTTTCTAAATAAGTTCGTGGATACGTACTGCCGAGGAGTTTCATACTAGAAGGAAACTGCCGTCCAATGCTTCCAGGTTTTACCTGATGGTCTAGCTTAAATTGGCTCATGATTTCAACAATTGAAAAATCTCCACAAATTCCCTTCTGATATATCAGAATAATAAATTTGAAAAGATGAAAGAAACTAGTTCTTATTATCTGAAACTAGAACATAAGGATCGACAGCAAATATAATTGCTTCCCTCTTATTATTATTATTAGTTTATGTTTCACTAAGGTGCAAAAATGTTAAAAGACAACTTTTAAACTGTATCCCCTTTTTTATATATATAAACAACCTAAAATTGTAATAAAAGTGATTATGTAATTTTACTGGTTAGTCTAAAGGTTAAAGAAATTACCCAGTAAGATTATTACAACCATGTAAATTGTTAAGGTGTTAGTCAGTCAGTCAGTAACAACATACTGAGAGATTTCTTTCTCTCATATCAAATTTAAATAATTCCAACGTTTCGTCCAACTAACTTATCTGAACTTCTTCAGGGTAATCAACAAAATTAAAATCATCAAAGAAATATATATCTATTTAACAATCAAAAATATCCTGTGTTTAACCAATCCTATTTGAATGTTGATTTTTGTAAAATAGGATAATATGAGTTAGTTATATTAGTAATCATTTGAAAAGTTCACCACATGGATATAATGAACTGAAAATGTGACAGTTAAGCCTTCTATCAATAGTAGCATTGAATGAAGTTGACCTTTTTACAGATTAATTACAGTTAGTTATGTGTATCATCCTATGGTAACTTGATGGTCTAATTTCTTTTGTGCAGTCCCAAAGCTTGAAGTTTGTATTTGTTATTCATCTTGTTATTCTGTCGGATCTTTCAATAGATTGAAATCTCTATGAAATTATCTTTTGTTTTTCCTATAGTTTTAAAAATGGCTTCCATATATATTTTCTCAATAAGGTTGTTAATCCAGGTATATAAGTAAGGAGAACATGATATGCTAGAAGAATATGAACTTAGAAACAGTCTAATCCACTAAACTGCTTTGCATGTAACTTCAGAATAAGATGTATATGAATGAATAAAAATGCCTGAAATTTCAATAACAATATCTGTAGTATTCTACTATCTGATATGGTTACAATATATACTACCTACTTTAAACCAAACCTACTATGATGACTGTAATTTATAAGGAGATCTAATTACTGAAACTAATCTTAATACACACATATCATAAATATGTATACGATTATTCCTCCTGTTAAGAGATAAGGACACATAATACGAGACCTTAATCAAGTGCATAATCAATTTCTTCAAATAGCATACTATGTTTATAATTTGTCATTTGCTCTTTGACCTTAAAATAGGAAGTAAGTTTAGGCATATGATATATTTATGCCTCTTTAATCTATTAAGGTTATAGGCTCCAAACCTCATTCTTCGTCCACTTTGGTTTTAGCAGCTAAGTAGTATAATTAGTTTTTACATAAAATATAATTTAAAGTTGAATGTATAACATTGTACTTCTAAAATGAGTTGCATTACATTGTTTTAATGTATTCATTTAAATGTTTCGGTAACAAGTTACATATTATATATGTTGTTATGCAGAGCTGAAGGTCTCATATGAGACTGGAGGTTCGCCATTCATATTATGGATGGTTCGGTATTACTTTGGCAAGTTTTGCTGACTATTCATGCACAAAATTGGTTTGCTGCTTAACCGATTTCATTTAAACTACTGGTTGCTTTTCAGTGTTCTCAAGGGCCATTGTCATTGGGACATTGTAAGGCATGTCACCATTGCTAACATTAGTGGGTTGACTGTCGTGTAAGCGGAATAGGTCAACTTTGGCAAGTTCGTGCTGTGCATAATTGATTCACGCTATCATTGATCGAAATAATTATACATGTGATGTAAATGTGTATATGATTGGTGCGAATGGTCCACCAGGGTGTATGATACTTGTATGGTTGCGCCACAGGATTGAGCTGTACTATTCAGATTGTAGCGTTAAAGCCTGTCTCCTGTGAAGCGGGACTGAGCTGTACTGCTTGGGAAGTGTTTGGCTCTCTTGATAAACAGGATTGTGCTGTAGTGTTCGAGTTGTCACGCGAAATTCTGGATGAAGTCTGGTTCTCTTGAAAAACCAATATAAAATTACCCTTATCCACAAGGGCATATTATATAACTATGAACTAACTTTAACTCATGAGTTACATATTTCACTTTTGGCTTAAAATAGTGTTTAATTTATTTTTTTATATTCTAAAGTTTACCATCACCCGTATTACCGGATATTCGACTAGTACCAGAAGTTTTAATGGAATCAATCATTGTATCGTTTGTTTCATTAGCTACAACAATTTCTTTAGTTAAATTATATGCAAAGAAAGGTGGTTATAATGTTGGTTATACTCAAGTATGTTTTATTTAAATATCTATTCATATATTACTTTTAAAATCATTTGTGAAAACTTCGATTATATATTGAATACATTCAATAACTTGTTATAACTCAAAGTTCCTTAAAGAATAATGATTTAATCATTAATAATCTCCACAACCCCTATACTAGTAATCAACATGTGCTCACTAGTGACTAGCTTCGTGAGGGAATCCTCGGAGTTCTAGTGAGAAGCCGTGACCAGTGGAGCTAATCCTTGTCGGGTAGGGACAGGTATCTACCTCAGTACAACGGAAGTTGGTCGCGCAATTTCATGGATTGGTTGATGTTAGAAACTATCACCATTGGATGCCGGCTCAGTGGTCCAGTTGGTTAAGCGTTCGCACGCGAGACCGAAGGCCCTGGATTCGAATCCCGCTCGCGGGGTCGTGGGTGCGCACTGCTGAGGAGTCCCACAATAGGACGAACCGGCCGTCCAGTGCTTCCAGGTTTTCAATTGTGGTGGTCTAACATCAATCGGTTCATGATCTCAATCAAAAAGCTACCAGTTCTTTTTCATAATGGGTTAAGTTATAGGTTCAAATTTTACACCATCTATGTTGATTTCAATCATTGGAAAGTATCGTTAGCATTCGAAAACAATTAAAATGTAGCTCATGTTTCAATATACAATCTGCTTGCGCTTATCACATGGGGAGATCTCACTCGTCGCGAAACCCAAAGTTCTATGTTAGATTTCAAGTATTAAGATGAGCCCAAAACTAAGATAGTATCACTTGTCTACTGCTTCAAGAATCCATGTATAACCTTGTCTAATAAAATAAACTTGTTCTATCGTATATCGAACACAAATCCTTTGATTCCAATATAGATGACAACAAGTTTGTATGGAGGTGGTGGGAGGTAGTCCAGGAAATCCTAGATATAGGTTTTCATACTGTTTGGCACTCTTGATGAATTTGTATCTGTAATTTTGAAAGAAATATTATTCTTTGGTGGATTCGATTATTTGTTGGCCAGCTTCACAGTCAGGGATATTACCATTGAGCTATCCAGGCCGCAACTGGGATGTATTTACAATTGATGTATCGGTGAGACTATAATTTATGGACGACCTTTGAGCGACTCCAGATTCACCTTGAGAGCGTCTACCTAGTAACCAGAACCAAATGGGGGTTATAGACATGTGTGAAGAATTAGAATTACGATTTACAGTTGATAGTTGAGCGTGTTGACCGCTTCACTTATCTTTGGAGTCTCATCAGCCATTGCAGTCTAGTGTGTGACGAAATCTCAGCACGAATACAGAAGGCTCGACTAGTTTTTGCCAATTTGCGCCATTTATGGTGTAGGCGAGATATCCGTCTATCAACCAAAGGACGTGTTTACTGCGCAGCAGTTCGTCCCGTCCTACTTTATGGCAGTGAAACATGGCCGGTAAGAGCAGTCGATACTCTTAGGTTACAAGTATTCGATCATAGGTGTCTTCGAAACACTGCTCGTATATCCTGGGACCACCGAGTAAGTACTACAGTTGTTAGGAAACGGGTACTAGGTAAGGATGGAAAATCGATTGATGAAGTAGTGAAACTTCATCAGTTGAGATGACTGGAACACGTGTTACGTATGCCCAACGACCGACTGCCTCGACATGCGATGTTCAGTGGTATAGGAGTAGGTTGGAAGAAAGCTAGGGGCAGCCAGACCAAAACATGGCATAAATCCATGAAATCATGTTGGTAGGTTTAGACTACCTGGTTGAGATCCGAGAGACGATAGCAACCGACGCTTAGAGACCTTGAGTGACATGGCTTAAAAGCGTTTGCAATAGCGCAAATGCATCCACTCTTTGTGTTCTTCCAAATTCTAATCTTCTGAATTCTTCATGTCACTTTCTTTTTTCTCTTTCCAAATTTATTTCACTGGATTATACACCTTGAATAACATCTTCAAGCCCTAATGTTTCCGATTACTGCTTATACTCTTACTACCTCTACCACTACGGAATTTGAGTCGACAACTGTATCTCTGTGCTAATGTGGTGTGGCAACTCGAACCTATGTACGTAGGTATGAAGTTCCACGTTGTTACTGACTGACTGACTGATGGTCAAGGTAAGAAATTATACTTATGGTTCTCATCACGAACTGACATCAGCTGTAATGCCATGAATCTATTTAGCCGAATAGACGAGTAAATTTCGCGCCAAAATCCGAGACCTGTTATCTTATACATGATTGGTTTGTCCATAAATTTTAGTCTCACCGATGTATCACTGGGTTATACACAGTGCTAAATAGTACAAAACCTAGGTTCACGGTTTCCTGTCGACCACCTTTCAACACCATTTTACATCTCAACATAGTGCATACGATATCGAGCGACCTAGACTAGTGACTACATTGTAACTTGATCGATAAAATTCGATATGTACTAAAAAAGGATATGACATGCATGATATTGGTTATTACCTAGTAATCAATCTATTGTAACCAGCTTTGTATATTTCTTTTTCTGAAACTAAAAGTTTTGACATTATTCTTACAACAGTAAATGATTGTATTCACTTAGCTTTAATATCCATATCTATATGATTATGCTGATCATCCGATCTTCATTTGCCTACTTGATAGAATTAAACCATGTGACTTCAGTATTTGTTTATTTTTTATAAATTTGTTTAATTATAATGAACATCCACTTAGATTATCTTATTGTTGTGTTTCTTCAAAAAAATATCGATTTGATCTGTGCTACTTATAAATTGCTGTGAATAATTTCATTGTTTTTAAATGACACCGAAAAAAAACATGTTGCTTCTCTGAAATTGCCACCGAATTCCCTGATATGGGTGAGAGTTAGGAGAGTCAGATCTCCTCGAAATGTTCTCACATGACCACGTGCATACAACCACTGGCAGTGAAATCCTACTTACTGCCTTCTCGCGGTGTTGGTGGTGTTTACGAAATTAAGAGGACGAAAAGGTAATATCTGGCGCTTTAACCGGGTTGGTGGACACGGAGAATCCACCTAGGGGAATTGGAAAACCCTGATTCCAAACCAATGGTGCACATGGGCTCCAGTATCCTAAAGGAACAAATGAACGTATGAACCTATTTTCGGTGACCAGATACTATGGGACTGTATCTCCCTACGTTGCTCCACTACCTTGTGGTTTAGACCATTAGGTCAAAGGCTCTGGGTGTGACCTCTTAGGAAAACCACCTGTTTCGGTTTGGGTAACCGGAAAATATCCCAGCCCTCACATATATCAAATAATTTACATGGTGCTTGGTGCCTTTTTGTACCAATGTTTATGTATTTAAGTAAATAAATTAAAAATAAATTCTCCGAACTTCAGTCCTAATTAACTCAAAAAACTTAAAAAGCCACGTAGGAAAATCTAGATTGGGATAAATGAAAATTCTCAATTTTTGTGTCCGATAATTATTTCTACATCAAGTTTACTCCATGTAAATATTTATGTCTTTCTAATCAAAATCATCATGGTTAGTATATTCTGGAGAATGCATTATTTCCAAAGAATTTAAATTAACAAGAGACTTTTTATATTATCATCATTTTGTATTTCTAAAGTGCTTGAATACAGTTGAATTCCATTCTCCGAAAGTTATAACTTCCATGCATGTTTCTCAATGACATACCAACTATTTCACTCAATATTTATACGTTCTTTATTGTATCATCATGATGAAGCTTCTCAATTTTCGGTGGTTGTATTAAGAGTCGTTAGGGAGGGTGGAGTACAATACATGTATAACTAAAAGTTATGTTGTATTTTACGTCTCGAATTCCGTAGGTAGATGATAACCTGATCATAATGTGAATATGGATTGTTAGTTTATGTATCTGGTGCTTGAAATAGTTTAACACAATAATGTACGAGTTGTGCAGTTATTTACAAAATTCGACATATCTACTTCAAGATTTCATCCGGATTATTAATTGAACCTCGAACACAAACATTTTACCTCTCAATATTGTTATTTCATTAAAACTACATCCTAAATTCTTCTTATGTAGATCGATTATTTTTGTGGGGCTACTTTTACCAAAACTATACAACCTAACTGTTGGACTAAATGTAAAGTACACATATATAATTGTTACAAGACTAAATTTTCACGTGGTGTTTAAACCTTGGTTAGAAAACCGCTGAAAATCATGAAACGTTGTATAATTGTCCTGTTTGATTACTGTACTTCACCATTCCGAACGTGAGACAGATATCACCAATGATAATATTCGGGAATTTCAATGAGTTCGATTAAGGTTAAAATTGTAAACTACTGGATACTGATTCAGTAGTCTGAAGGTTAAATGCTCGTCACGGAACTTGAACATTTAGGATATGGTGGTTAGCGTGATCACGAAAGTTGGCTTTCACTGTCGACGAGTCTCATTCTAGAGCGACATGACTGTGTTAAGTGCTTTGTGGTCGATTCGTGACGTGGAAAATTGTAACTTGATGACACCATCTAACGTACACCATAGTTCAATATATGTTCCGTGTAGTGATAATTATTCATAGGTAGGTAGGATTGTATAATTGGCAAAAAATTACCCCCGTATTTGTATTGTGTTGGGTTATACAGATAATAGTTGATCTCTGTGTGTGTTTTTATGTTGACAAAACAGGAACTGAATGCACTAGGCTTGTCCAATGTAATATCTGGATTTTTTCGTTGTCAACCCTCGTCTGGTGCTTTGGCTCGGACTTCAGTTGCTAGTAACGTTGGAATGTGTTCTCAAGTTAGTCATTTTGTCAATATGTAATTTCTATAATTATAAACATTTGGGAGCTGCTATATAAGTGCTACGTTTGATGCATATAAATACACGTACACATATACACACAGTTCCTCTTTATGATATTAAAAGTGAACAACAACGAGTTGGACGGAACATTATGGACTTATTGTATTTCATATTAATAGCTCTCATCAGCTACCTTAATAACCTATAATGTTTCAGGATTAGAAATACTTCTAGAGAACTGAATTTTATTGGTAGTTAAGTTGATAAACAAGTAATGTAACAATGTTATAAATGGTTAGACGATACTCTGTAATGATATACCGTTTTTCTTACTTGTTTCTAATATATCAAGTTTCTTCTGCTCAGTAATAAAATAACTTCAAGACAATTTCAAAAGACTATAAAGATTACTGTATATTAAACACTGAAAGATTTCATTCTTGGAACGGATGGTAGTATGTGTTGTGACTTTATGTCCGGCTTTTTATCACGTGATTTATCCACCAATCAAAATACGACTTATACAATCTCAGCACTGTGTCAAACCAATGACGTTCGACCGGTATGAGCAGCCTGGCGTCGTTATTGCTTCCATGTCCTCGTAGCCCGTCTACGTTGTTACTGACTGACTGAGCCCGTCCACTTGAGTCCAGAACACTAATACCAGCTTCCACTATGCGAATCATATATTTCGAACATACTGTGTTTATATATCAAACAAACAGACCGCAACGCACCATAAAATAGGAAATAACATTTGTACACAATAAAGCCAAAAAGTGACTGTGAACGTGCGAGGCAGTAGTCAATAAACTGAACATAGAATAAGAATCGTAAATCGTACAATAATAAACTATAGGTCAAAATAAAGCTTATAATAAGAGGAATATAAATATACATAATCTAATTATTGAATAGTTATACCATTAGAATGTATAGATAAGATTAGTCAATTAATATGTCTCAGAAGTTACTCGTGATCTAATCTTCGCTCGGATATAACAGTATGATCCCTTGGTTGTTCTCATCTTCGCCAAGATCTTTCTTTGATATCCTGATAACACATCATTGTTTTCAGTCTTTTGGTACTTGTTATCTTCCCTAAATCTTTCTAAAGAGAATGTGGAGCATCTTTACTGTTACCCTTGTTTCTGACTTTAGTACTGCAGCTGGTAATCTGTCTGGTCCTGGTGCTTTGTCATTCTTAACTTAGCTGATGGCTTCGCTAGTTTCTTTTTATCCCAGTTGGGGTATTATCTATGGAGAGATCTATGCGTGTTACATCGATGTCCGGTGGGTTTGCTAGTTTGTTCAAATGTTCTATATTGTCCTCTTCTCAATTGTTCCATTGCTCTCAAACCTCAGGGATTGGTTTACCTTCTCCGTTTCTGTACGGTCACTCTAGTTTACTATATTTCTCTGCTAGCTTCTTCATTCTATCATATAGTTCTTCCTCTTCTTGGAGACTTTTACTGTAGTTGCCAGGTCTTCTATATCTTTCCGTTCATCAACTCTAATACAGTTCTTCACTCGATTGTTTGCTTCTGTATATTTAGCAAATGTCTTGACTTTCTCTGCTTTTGTTCAGTTGTTGTCGACTTCTGTCATTACTTTCCTTTGTTTAGTCTTGCGCAGACTGTCTACAGATAAGCTTTTTCTTGGGACCGAGGACTTTGGCGCTCCCATGAACGATCAAGTCCTAGCTTAATGCATCTGAATGTGCAGTGTTAAGTATAATAACTTCCAAGAATATGAATTATAAGGCGCCGATGGACAAATTTCAACCTAATTTTATTAATGCGAATACTACTTACTGTAAAATTTCAGTAACCTAGATTTGGTCGAATATGTAGTTTGTACAGTACGTTATTAATTGTTATGAACCTTACGTAGTATATAACCTGACGTCAGTGTGTCTTAGAAGTTTGAATTTCGACTTGTTCTAAGGACATATTGTTGGAATATCTGACTTATCAATCTGCCAGTGAATGAAACTGAAATATTCATGTGAGGACGGTCCACGGGTGAGCTCGAGGAAGCTCTATGAAGCTCAGAAAGAGCCGAAGATGTTCCATCCAATCATCTTTTTGAAGAATATTCCTAACTGCACCTGGAGTCCCTCCGGGGGCTACTACCGATCTCAAGCCCGGATAAAGGAGGAGGGTTGGGCATGGGGTTAGCGACCCCATCCCGTAGAAAACTAACTCGCTAAAAAAACGCTAACCAGAAAAAATTATTATTCAAAACTACGTGTAGCTTCCCTATCGAACAAATGCTAATAACCCCTGTATGTGGATTACAGGACTATAATAATGATTTCTTTTTTACTAAAACTATAAATACCTAACAGTTCTGTACTATAAATGACATTGTTTGGAAAAGCATTCCTTCTCACTTGTCTCCTCTCTTCTCATTTTCGACTTAGATTGTTCTAGCGACATAATAAGAATCTAAGCTCTGGATATGACAATTCACCTTACTATTTATGATGAAATCAAAATGGTCAAAGGTATCATAGTCAAAATTTAAGTTATGTATCAATCAAAGCTGTGTTGAGGAACACCTCAGTACTTGTAGATAAATAAAATACTTATTCTAAACAAACTTCATTTTCTTTGAATTTCAAGTATATTCCAAATGATTTCAGTATTAATTTGCTTCAAAATATTCCCCTTTTTGTTTACTTTTTAATTAATAAAATTTGCTTATCATTATAAAATGGTCTAAACAAACACAACACTTGTCATCACTACTAAGTGATTGATCAATTGTAGATATCTCATTCCTACAAGAAGTCAGTTTTGAACCGTTTAGCTAAGTATTAACGTTATAGGCTATGAAGCTAGGTGACACCCGTTCTAGTTCCACAGTTAACATCGGTCTGCCAAACATTTCAAGTAAACCTTAGCTATGAGTTTCAACCAGTATGAAACCTGGCTTAATAGAATTTAATCAGCACAGAGGATTAAGCAAACATGACGTAAGTCATTTATTTTTATTACTTATTTAAATACATAAATATTGATACAAGGATGCACGAAATATATATGCGTTACACTTCACCATTCGATTTGTCTAAGGGCTGGAATACTGCCCGAGTGCTTAAACCGAAGCGGGTAATTTTCTTAGGAGGGCCATACCCCAAGCCTACGACCTAGAGACCTAATCCACAAGGCAGTGGAGTAACATGAGGAGATGCGGTTCCATGGTAGCCGGTCACCAACAATAGGTTTATACACCATTTGTTCCCTAAGGATCCTGGAGCCCATTTCGAGAGGGAGAGCTGATTTTCCCCACCCTCGGCCGTAAAACGGAATTTATGGGCACAAACAATAAACATCGCTGAACTTCAACCTAAATACAGAGATTACACTCTATTGGTGTGATACACAGCTCTACATATATCATTACACCATAGCTAATTTATTTATTTATTCCTATTTATCAGTTATTAAACAAAAGTGTTCTTTCTTCTCTTTTTTTACTAAATGAATAGGTTGCTTCTTTGATTTCTTGTTGTATTCTTTTACTTGTTATTACTGTGATTGGACAATTTTTACAAACTGTTCCAAAGGTATGTAGTTTTTTTTATTTATTTAGCATATTCATTAAGGTTCTTTTGTTCATATCCATAGTTCATAAACTCTTTTGAATGATCCTTTTATTTAAATTATGTAATCTAGTGCAAATGAAACTTGTACTGCATAGCTGTTTTATCTCAGTATAAGACTCCATGATCCCGCTTTAAAGGGACTCGAAACCAATAGATTCGGTCGTGCGCGAACCATTGTCCTCTAGATAACGGGACTGGCTGATATTCAATAGTGTTAATGTCTAACTTCAATCAGTCCATGATCTTGCACAAACCTTCATCCATTGCGAGGTGGATAACTGTCTCCACCCGACACCGACTGAACTCCATTGGTCACAGTTTCTCATTAGAACTCCAGGAAATCTATCTAGTCACTAGTAAGCACATGATTATTATCAGGATGGGGATTTGTGGTGATTGTAGTCATTTTTAGTAGTTGAACTCATAAGTTAATCTTAAAACTGTTAAAATAATGAATAGAACTTTGATCAATAAATAATCCACTATGAAAGTTGTTTTAAATTATAATCAATTATGAGGTCAGTCGCATGTCAATAATATATATATATATATATATATATATATATATATACTTCTTTGGGGTCCGCGTGACTATCGTAACCAATGGTTGGAGACTCCGTGACATGGCTCAGAATCGGTCACAATGGCATCGGTGTATGCACTCTCTGTCTTCCGTTAAACGATGAGATTAAAATTGATTTATATCTTTCTTTCTACAAACTGATTCTTTCTTCCTATACTATATCTTTATATACAATCTTTCTTCAATATAATACCACCATTGAACTCATTACTATGAATTCAGTGTTCATCTTGTTGTGCTGATGAGGTATGGCAACTTGGACCGATGCATATATGTGTCTGGTTCTACGTTGTAGCTGACTGATATATATATATATATATATATATATTGGGTGTTTATATTAAAAGATTATTACTGCCAATCAACTGTTCATTATTTACTTGTATTCTTCTGTGTTTTTTTATTGTTTTGACATACTTTCATGATGGTTTCTAGTGTATCTTATCATCAATTATTGTCGTATCGCTTGAAAGTATCTTCTTACAAATTATGGATTTACGTGCATTATATCGTGTTTCCATATATGATATGGTAAGTGGTGTACATGAGTATTTTTGCAATTATTTCCTTTGCATGAATTACAATTATTATTTTTATTTCTACTATTTATTATCTGAACCATCTTTATATTGTAGTGACATTTTGTACAATTTCATAACGTGCATTATAAATAAGTAAGAACTTTTCGGGTACGCTAGATCATCAGAACTCATTTAGTGAACATCTTATTTTTGTAATTTTATTTTAGAAATTTGAATTTCTTGTTTACGAGTGCAACAGCCTCCATTTTTACCTTCAGATTGTATTCCCCAATTGGAAGGACCCTAAATGTCATTCGTTTGTTATCGCTTTCAATATGCTATTTCGTGATGTTTCCTAAGGACATATCTACACTGTATATATATACGTTAAAGTTGTGTGCTTGTTTTCGTTCGTACTCTTGGTTGCTTGTATAATGTACTTCCCCTCTTCTGAATCTGATCTTCTTCTTCTAGTTAGCGTGGCAGGGACATATCGGAATAGTTAGTTTATCGTTGTGTCGCTGATCTTTCTTTCGATTCATCAGTTTAGGCGATTTCGTAATCTCTTCAAACATAGCAGAACTACAAAATCATTGAAAAGTAAAAAGAGCTAAACACTGTACAATCCCCATCATAATTTGAATATGTGGGCTACTAAATTTTGAATCAGTAGTTTTCATAGATGTATATAAATTTCTTTGTCAAACGGTTTTTTTCTGTACGATCATACCATACTCAAATTCATGTATCATTCTATTCATTATTCGATTGAATACCTTTTTTAAAATATTAGTAATTTCTTTTTTCTTCTTTGATTTTAATCTTTAAGCTTATATGGCTTGTAACATTCATGGCCACCGTGTTTATTGATGTCCCGATAGGTTTATTAACTGGTTTGTGTTTCTCCCTACTAACGGTATTATATCGTACACAATCGACATATTATTATGAACTTGGGCAAATTCCCAACACAAATATTTATGTTGATTTAAAGAGATATGACGAAGTAAGTTACCTATCTACTACTAGATTATTACGTTATTATTAGATTATGTACTATGCTTATTACTCAACTTTTAATCGATTTCGTAACTTGACGTTCTGTTTTACATTTGTTTGTGTAGAATTTATTGTTGATATAATGTTGAACATTTATTTAGTTATGTTTCGAACTAGCCTTTTATCATTTAGAATGAGAACCCGGGTCCAGGTTTTCTTGTCGACTACCTCCAACCACCATCTAATTTCACAATAGTGCCCGTAGTGTCGAGTCACCTAGACTAATGACCACATTGCAACATGATCAATAGCATTCGATCTCCACTAGTAAGGACTAGACACGCATGACATTGGTCACCACCCAGTGATCAATCAATTGTGATTACATCTCAGTCCCACAGGAGGTCAGTCGCGGCTCGGATAGCACAGTGGTAACGTTTCTGACTGAGAAGCTGGGTGATACGAGATCGAATCCGCCAGGGAGCACCAGTTCCCTTAAGATTACAGGTACACCTTGCTGACGAGTGCCAAGTAGCACGAAACCCGGGTCCAGGGTTTCCTGTTGACTACCTCCAACCACCATCGAATGAGAATTTTCTTTATGGATTGCTAAACTAATATAGAAAGTGCATCGATAGATAAATACTGTTTATGAGACCGCACTATCTATAGCAATCCTCCTTCCCTCTAATTGAACTGATATTTAAGGCAATGCAGATGCTCAGCAGAATAAGTTTTTTCTTCTAGCAAAATATACAATGTAACATGAGAATAAATATACTCATAAAGTCATTTAACATATTAACTATTGTGGATATGAGAAGCATAGGTTAGTCGCTATCCAATGGAATTAATACCTAACTATAATGCTTAATTTCTGCGTCGTTAGATCAAGTCATCGAATTCATAAAATATATGTAATTTATGATGGATGATACTTGGGTTCCATATATCGTTACCTAATTGGATTTGTTGATATATGGCAGACTTTTTTCTCTTAAATAATTAGTTTAATCAAGTTTTTTCCTAGTTTTCTATTTGCTACAAATTTTAATTGACGACTTAATGACAAACACTTTTAACTTCTACATAGACAAACAGGCACTATCACTGATGTTACCATACATTTATTTGAACTATCTTGCAAATACCGTGACCAAAAAGCCTTCAGTCTTTTTTTGCCCTAGGCTAATTGATACTGTCGAGTGTGAGACAGATATCCACCTCAGACAATGGATGAAGGGTTACGTAAGATCGCGGATCGATTTAAGTTTGACACGATTGGATGGCAACCGACTTAGTGGTCCAGAGGTTAAACGTCCGCATGCGAGACCGCAGGTCCTTGGTTCGAGTCCCTTTGGTGTGGGATCTTAGATGGACACTGCTGAGGAGCTTTATACTAGGATGAAATGGTCGTCTATTGCTTGAAGGCTTTCAATGGTAGTCTAGTTTAAATCGACTCGTGAATTCAACTGTCAAGACACTACAATCTCTACAAATCTCCATGCTGACTAATAGTTACTGAATTCCTAAATCGAAAACTTATCTTTGTGATTTGAACTAATTTTTTTTTGATATACTTAGATTATGATTGTAGTAGAAATGATATTTTATTAAACCTAGTTAGCATATAAGTTCACTTGGTGTTGCTTTGTTTGTATATTCCCATTGTTATTTAGGACTGCAGTTGATCAGTCTCTTATTGGCATATGTGCATCCTGTGCGGACTGCTTCGGTATTGCCTGAAGTCACAAGCTTTTTAAGCAAAGATGGATAGTGACTAGCAGCAGAATCCAGGACGCGCGCCGCTTCGTCCTATTTGGTACACGTCAGCTAGATATGCCTGCATTCCACAGTTAATATTCACCCTGGGACTCGAACCCAGTACCATTCGCTTCAAACGCCATCACGTTATCCACTTAGCTACTAACTCCTGATAGTCACCTGCATGTATTTGAACTACTTCCGATATTGATAAATATCACAACCCATGTTAAAATCAAATTTCTACGTAAAACTAATAATAATTTGTTTTTAATATTAATAATTCATTTTTAGGCTATAAAACTTCCCAATATTCTTATATTAAAATATGGTGGTCCATTGTATTATGCCAATTCAGAATCTTTTCAAAATTGGATTTATCAAATGACCAATATTAATCCACATAAATTGATTAAACAACGTCAACGTATCACACAACAATTGGACCGTAAGCAACAACAACAACAACAAAAACAACAACTTAATGAAGAAAATCTGAATCAGTATCAAGATAATAGACATAAACGATTGTCTTTTGTTAAAAATGTAATGAAACGAGTCAAGTTGAATAAAAAGAAAGATTGTGGTAAATTTCCACATATTTCACAACTTACGACGGATGTAAGACAGTTTTCGCTTTTTACAATTGTTATATAATGTCTATTGTATATGTTCTTGGTTATACTCTCATATCAAGTAATCCATTGCATAGGTATTCAAATCTTCACGTGTGATTGGCATTGAGTTTACTGTATGTGTCTGTGTTATTGTTGTTGTTGTTTTAATGATATGTAGTGTTAATTAATAGAACCTAGAAATGTTTAAAGTGAGATTAGTTACTTATCAGTGAATATATTTGAATGTCTTATTGGTTATTGTTGGAAATTAATAACATGAAATAGTCATAAATAAATTATTATATTTGTAATATCCCAATGAGTAGAAAAATAAGATTTTATGACGTTTTGTAACTCAGTGTAAGCCACTTCTTCAGAGTAAATAAATAATCAAATCAAAATTAATCCAAGTTTAAGTAGCACAGCGGAACAACAAGAATATAATGTTCTTGTTGTTGTTTAGTTAATTAAGGGCTACATTGCAACACTAGTTTGTGACTTAGAATGATATACTGTTTACTTACACCTGTCAACCCTCGCGAAGGAGCACAGGCCGTCCACCAACATTCTCCGCTGAACTCTGTCGTGGACAAGCCTTTCCATTTACTATTCATTCTTTTGATATCTGCTTCCAATTCTCAACGTAGTGTGTTCCTTGGTCTTCCTCTTTTCCATTTCCCTTTCAGGATTCCAAGTTAGCATTTGCTTCGTGATGCAGTTTGATGATTTCCGTAATGTATATCCTATTAACTTCCATCATCTTTTTCTAATTTCCTCTTCAGTTGGAAGCTGGTTTGTTCTCCCTCATAGTAGGCTCTTACTGATGGTATCCGGCCAACAGATATTGAGTATCATAAGTAGACAACCATTTATAAATAATTGTACCTTTTTGATTATGGTTGTAGTAGTTATCCAAGTTTCAGATCCGTACGATATACTATTTAGAGAAGTGTATATCAGCTGAATTAGTTACATATCTTACTAACACAGCAATACATGAAGTTAATGAAACAAAATATAACTTATTCAAAATGATAACATTAGACCAAATGCACTGGATATAAATAGTATAACATTAGTATAAAACCGTATAATAAGAATTTTGAAGTATTGTTTATATCCTAGATTGACAGAAAGCTAAAGAAAGTGATTTTACCACTAATGAGATTATCCTCAACATTATATTGCTTTGAATTCCTTTTGTATTGTTTGTTTGAATCTCCCCATTAATGTTTAAGACTGCAATTGATCAGTCTCTTATTGACGTATGTGCATCCTGCACAGATTGCCTCAATATTGTCTTAAGTCACAAGCATGATAAGCAAATATGGATGGTGGCTAGCAGAGGAATCTAGAACGCTCGTTTCTTCCTATTTGAGATTCGTCAGTTGGATGTACCTGCATCTCTGAGTTAATGTTCACTCTGGTACTCGAACCCAGTACCACTAGCTCCAACTCTGGAGTGCAGGTGCATCTAACTAACGAGCCTCAAATAGGACGAAACGCGTGTCCTGAATTCCACTGCTAGCCATCATCCATCTTTGTTTATATTACCTTATTCCTCTAGCCATCATTTCAAGTTATTTTCATAGTCACCTATGTCAAAAGACTACAATGTTTAATTCAATATAGTTCAATAGTCATTAACTTCTTGACCTGATCCCAAGTTTCGTATTTTATTCCAAAATCATATTATTCTTTAAAATGAGAAGTGCTTTAAGTTTCCACATCAATATTTCACTAGATCACAGATTAATTGTTCTTTAATTGAATAACCATAAGCCTGTAGAATTATGGTCTACTATGATATTAGTACTGCTCTAATAATAGACCTAATCCTAAATTTGTAGATTTGTCATGATATAACTGCCTAATCTATAAGATTTTACGTGGAAGTCAGACCGACTACACCAACTCACTGTATCGTATCAATTACCAATACATGATGTAGAACAAGGTTAGGCTAGAGAAAGTGTAGAACTATGGTCTACTATGATATTAGTACTGCTCTAATAATAGACCTAATCCTAAATTTGTAGATTCGTCATGATATAACTGCCTAATCTATAAGATCTTACGTGGAAGTCACACCATCGACTACGCCAACTCACTGTATCGTATCAATTACCAATACATGATGAAGAACAAGGTTAGGTTAGAGAAGGAACAATATATTTAATATGAATAGAGACCACGCCTGCATGGCCGAGCCATGCCACTCGATCAACTCCAGTCCATTCAATTCATTCTCCGCGCCTTCTCCATTGTTAGGTATTTCTCCGCGTTAAATATTGAATATCTATTTTCTGAGTAGTCTCGTGTTCACAGCTTTGTGGATTGTGTGGCTATTGTCCAATGCCACTACACTACTCTCCCACCAGAATCAACGTGATGTTGGTTCGATACCAAATTGGATGGGATCGTCGCGCGCCGGAGGTTACCAAGGATAATAAAGGTCCTCCGGGTATTGATAAGCTGAAAGATAAATCAAAAAGAAGGCAGTATCTGGTCGGAAAATACATGTAATAATCTTAAAATATCTGCTTTCATGATTAACACGCTTAAAATGAAAATTTGGTTGAAGATTATTTGAACTATAAAAAATGGGATTACAATAATAATAATAATAAAACGATGCGTGTTAATAAATTAACTTATAGGCAGTAATTATTTTGTGTTTAGAAATATTAAAATAATGAATATTGTAGAAATGTTAATATTGGTATTAGTTTTGGTTTAAATTATGAAATCGGATAACGATTATGCCGGTAAGTTGTCCATATGAGTTGAATTCCAATTGCATCTGTATTAGTAGGCTAACTGAAGGAACAAAAGTATACCGTGGAGAAGAATTCCAACTAGTGTTCCAGTTAGTTTGATACGGTTTATTTAGTTACGGGGAGATTTTCTCAACCTCATTTTTACTTGACCGTGATAGAATTTAGTAATACTACTAATACACATGAACGGTTATCAGAACAAAATTTAAATACATGAGTGATAATTATATGGATTTTGGACAGATAGCTAGGAAAAATCGTTAAACATGAGTGTGTTCGTAAGAGACATGCTCTAGACTCAATGTTCTGATCTGCGATAGACTATTTATTTATATTTATACTTGCCGGCTGATTGGGCATACAAGATAGTTGCAAGTATGCAGTTTATCATAAGGCGGAATACGATTTAATTGAGATATAGTGGTTACAAGTTATTAAAATCAGTTAAGCCTATGGGTCATATTACGAAGTGATGTGGTGCTGCAAAATGTATTTAGCTAAATAAGTTTTTACAGGATGATTAATAGTGAGTGATGCTCATGTGATTATCAGGGAGAACATGAGTTGTAACCAGGGGGAGTACACTCCCAACTCATTTCTATGATAATGGCTTGAACCTTAGTCAGTGTTGGGGTAAATTCGACATTGATGTTTTCAGTTTGCAGGAGATTTGCTCGACTGCTTATTCTGATTATTTGCATGCATGATTGTGTCGCTAAACCATCAATTAGACTGACAAGGTTTTGAGATATTTACTGAATGAGCAACTGATAGAGAAACATACTGTAATCATCTGTGATGGATGAAGATACCAAGAAAACAACACCATTTAATGGTAATTATAAGTCAATTTGCTGACCGATTTCGTTACTAGTTTCATTAACTTTATCAGTCATATTACGTGATTGTCAAGTTATGACAATGCTTTATGACGATATCCTGAAACTATTATGTTTAACTAGTTATAGTGTTGAATGAGGATTAGTCAGTAGAAAAATAGGTATTGTTGCTTTAGGTGATTCGAAATCATCAGAAATTTATAACGTTAAAGAATCCGAGACGCCTAATTTAATTATAAATTTCAATTCAGAAATATTCGTTTAGTGTTAATTCTAGTAGGCTACGGAGTTTTGATTTTAAACGTTTGTCTAGCCAACAGCCACCTAGGGATTTAGTTATTTTACTAGTGAAGTTAATAGTACCTAAATTTTTAATCTTATTATCTAAACTATGTTCGCATTTTAGGCTGCTAATATGATAAATCAATCCATAAAGCCAAATACGATTAGCGACAACGACTATAATGGGTTTATTGATAAATGTTAAAGGCGATTCAGATGATTCCTAAATTTAGAAGACATGAAGATATAGTGTAACGTATGTGCGGGCCAGGTTGACAAGCAGGTTGTTGACGTATATGACAATTTAAAAATAATGAACATGATCAGATAAATAAATTCCAAGTTAAGACTGCTTGTGAAACTTCAAGCAGGAATATGACGCGTTATAAACATTCCATAAGAAGTTACTGCATTTAACCTAGGGACACTTACAAATTTATGGCAAAAGTAACTGGAAAACATATATATGTTAAGTACAAAAAATCATTAAGTAAAATAGTTGAACTCGCCTGGATTATTTTTGAAAATCAGATTATTCAGTGAACGACATATATAACGCCATTCGTGAGGAGTAGTAATGATCCAAAAGCATCCAGAATAAAACATGCAGTATGGCAATCACTTCCAGGGTGCTTGATGCTGTTGAGGTTTTTGGGACTCGCTCTGATCAGAACAATCGAAAGAATCCAGATAATTGTGTGTGCCATCTAAAATGAACTTATGATTGCAGAAAACTTATAGCTGGAACTCACCGTATGTTTTTGGAGTAGTCTCGTGTTCACAGCTTTGTGGATTGTGTGGCTATTGTCCAATGCCACTACAAAAGAACAATATATTTAATATGAATAGAAGATATAAGGTAACATTCAGCAGAGACCCCTCCTGCATGGCCGAGCCATGCCATTCGATCAACTCCAATCAATTCAACACCTTGTTCGCGCCTTCTCCATCGTTAGGTATTTCTCCGCGTTAAATATTGAATATCTGTTTACCGAGTAGTCTCGTGTTCATCTTTGAGGACTGTGTGGTTATTGTCCAATGCCACTACAAGCCTCTTAATATTAATTACAGTTTTTTTATAATATCCGAATGATTAGAAATTTGTACTTCTAACGTTTTGTGACAATGTATGTTATTCCTTTAGAGTAAACAAATAAATAACCGAAATAAAATGAACACAAGTTTAAATGGTACAAAGGAAACAATGTAGAATACTTTTTAATGGAAACAAGGTCATGGAAAGTTTGAATATGTTCGTGTCAAGTTATTTTTGGTCAAGGTGATTCTGTATAACAAATCACTGTGTTTATTTGTATGGTGATGAATATGAAAAATGTGTGCATTTGTAATCTGAAGTAGTGGGGTTGAAATGCTGTGTGTGTGTGTGTGTAGATTTTGTAAAGACTGCATTGTGTATTGTTTGTTTGAAACTTCCCATTGATATTTAGGACTGCAGTTGATTAGTCACGTATTGACATATGTGCATCTTATACGAATTGCCTCGATATTGTTTAAGTCACAAGCATTATAAGCAAAAATGGATGATGGCTAGCAGTGGATCAATTCGTGATTTCAACGAATTTCCATGCTGCTAATAGTCATGTGTTCACTAATGACTAGCTTCAAGATAGATTTCCTGGAGTTCTAGTGAGAAGCCGTGACCATTGGAGTCCAATTCGTGTCGGATGTGAGACACCTGTTTCCTTCAGAAATTGAATGAAGGGTTGCGCAAGATGACAGACCGATTAAAGTTAGTCACTGTTGGATATCGACCAGCTCAGTGTCCTAGAGGTTAAGCGTTTGCGCGCGAGACCGAAGATCCTGGGTTCGACTACCTTGCGCAGAATCGTGGATGCACATTGCTGAAAAGTCCAATACTAGGATAAAGTGCCCATCCAATGCTTCGAAGTTTTAAATGGTGGTCTAGCTTAGATCGACACGTGATTTCAATTATGACAATGCTACAAAATTTAACAGCATCTATAAAGCCCTCTATTAGTTTATAATATACAGATACAACGTCAAATTTTACATATTTTTAATTATAGAAGCAACCTTGTTAATTTGTATTATCATGTGATCAGTTTATTTAATGTAATATATAATGCAGTACACAACATGGATTATGTAAAAGTACTTTCATTTATTTATTAGCTTTATCAAATAACTGTCCTTTTTCAAATCATGTTTCGTTGACTCGAATTGTTTTTTATATTATTATTATTATATAAGTGAATAATAATCCAAGTCGAAAGTTGTTTGTAGTCACTAATGATTATACAATGATATGTGTAGCATTTTTACAGTTGAAATCACGAACTCATCTTAGCTAGATCATCAATGAAAAGCACTGAGTGGCCGTTTGCTTGTAGTATGGAAGTTCTCAATGGTGCGCTTCGCATTCACTATCCCGAACACGAAAATCGAACTCAGTACCTTCGGTTTTGCACTTGAATGCTCAACTTCTAGACCACTGAGCTATTCATCCTTCTGATGTCTGCTCCCGATTCCCGACACAGTGTATTCTTTAGCCTTCCACTTTTCCGTCTCTCTTCAGGATTCCAAGTCAGTGCTTGCTTCCTGATGCAGTTTAATGATCTCCGCAATCTATGTCCGACTCATGTCTAGCATATTTTCTTCATTTCCTCTTCTTCTGGTAGTTGGTTTGTTCTCTCGCGAAGTAGGTTGTTGCTGATGGTATCCCGCCAACGAATATTGAATGTCTTGCGTAGAGAGTTGTTTATAAATACCAATACATTTTAGATGATGTTTGTAGTTGTTGTCCAAGTTTCAGCTCCGTACACTAGAACTATCTTGACGTTCGCAGGACGCACATATGCCAATATGAGAATGATTAATTGCAGTCCTAAACATCGATAGGAAGATTCAAACAAACAATGCGAAATGAATTAAATGATCATATTGTATGTTAAGTAAAACACTTTTTAAGATGACAAATATTTGTGAACCATTATCTGTCTAGCAAATACGTGAACTGATCTATTGAGGTTGTTTGTTAATACATATAACTAACAGAAATGATTAATCATTTATATTGTTCAAACGCTTTCACGGATTACTACACTGTATATAGAGATATTGAAGAGTGATTGTTAGCATTTTTATAACTTATAACTTGATCATCACACTAGATCACATTTCACATTCATTGGAAATAGTTTCCTATGATACTTTTTTGTGTTTGAAACGCTAAATGGTTATGCATAGACAGTATTGAGATAATCTAATGATGGGTAAGGTGAAGGACCAAGTATTTATGAGAGACCATGTGAGATGTTTAGTAGTTGGACATATCAGAATGGAAATTCTATCTGACCTAATTTTTTGTGTTAGTTAAAACTCATCAGCAAAGCATACTTAGAATTTTAAAGAGACTTAAGCTCTCTGTTGGATTGGAACTAGCTCAATAGTCTGAGAATATACTATTGAGTTAATCACGATGTCACTGACCTTCTGTATAAGTGAGGTACTGATTGATCACTGTCATGATTAATGATAGGCTTTGCTGATGATTACTAGCTACCATGAAACGTAGGTTAAACAAGATATCTTATCAACTGTTTCTAACCACCTAACATCTCGTCTTAATCCACTTGATATTGAGACATTGGTACTAGCGACCATATTACAATTTAATCGACAGCATTTGATTAATAATAAAAGATTAAATAAACATGACATCAGTCACTATTCAGTGATCTAACCAATGGCAACTTTTGATAGATGTTGAGAATGACAGGAACGGATATAGGAAAAATGTTTCTCCATAAAAAAAATGGGAAATATTTTGAATGGGATAAAATTCATATATATGAAGGGCTTGTAAAATGATATTCTTAATCATCTCAATGAATGTATTTCCTTATTGAATAGACTACTTAGATATCTTCAAAAGAAGTTTTTATTCGTATTATTCAGATTAACAAGATAATTATTTGAAAGTTTGTTGTTTTTCTAAATTCTTATTCTATTTTCTAATAGATTAATGATAGTAAAAATGACGATGATCTTACTGGTCAATTGAAATTTATTATCTTAGATATATCATCATGGATTTATTTGGATTTTGTTGGTATGAGAACTATTACTGATGTAAGTTTTTCATTGGTTGAATTAACGATGGTCAATTCTGTGAAAATTTTAGATAACTGTAACATCCGCTATTTTTGGTAATTGGAACTATTGAGTTGTTGTATTTCATGCGTAGTTTTTCGAATTCGCGACAATTTTTCAGCATAACAATATTATGAACACTGTGTTGATTTGAAGTTGTTTTGTTTTGCATCAGAAACTATTTATAACTATCAAATATCAAAAAAATGCCGTTTAACTAATTTCGTCCCATTATGAGACTCTTAAGCAGTGCACACTCACGAATATGTTCGGAATGGAAATCCACAACCTTCTGATATCTCTGTAAGCCCAAGATTGGCGTCCGAACGATTCACTTTTTCGAATACCTTTTGACAACCTAGTGTTTTTATCTTCATTATAAAAATTAGTGTATGAGAGTGAAATAATAATAATGGGAGAGGCAGTTCAGTTAGCAGAGGTATAACCAGAAAGAATTCTTCCAGTTAAAGAAACTACGTCCATTTTTTATGAAGTGAAATAAAGTTACAGTAGGATCTCCACTGACCATATGTGATTACATCTCTAGCCACTGTGTTGCACCATCTCTAGGACCCCAACCAGAGAATCTTGAAGGACCAATAGAAGTCATTCCTGTACAGCTTTCATACCATGACACCATGTCATACACTGACCGCCTCTTCGCTTTTTCCAACCTGTCCCAGTGTCGGCAAATAATGTCTGACGTGAAATTCTCAGTGTTGACATTTGTGGGACATGTCCAATCCGCCGAAATAAATGTTTCAAGATGGTGACACTACTTGAATTATCGCCTCTGTACCCGAACACATGATGCCGAACCTCTGCATTACTAACATGGTGTTGGCACTGTATGTCAGCAATCCTTCGAAGACAACGATGATCAAACACAGAGAATCGTCTAACATCCTTAACTTGGAGAGGCCAGGTTTCACAAGCATAAAGCAAAACTGCTCCCACCGACGCGTTGTAGATCTGACCTTTTACAGCCAGACTAACATCACGAAGGCGCCAAAGGTGGCCCAGATTGGCATAAGCCGCTCTGGCTTTCATTATACGTGAATCGGTCTCATCACTCACGCCACCACCAACACTTATGCAGCTACCCAGATACACGAACTTCTCGACTACTTCTATCTGCTCACCATCCAGGGTGAGTACAGGACTAGAATCCTGCCAGTCTTGTAGAAGTACTTTGCACTTCGAAGATGCAAAGCACATACCATACCTACGGACACTGATTGCCAACTGATTAAGTGCGGATTGCATGCCTTGGGCATTATCGCACAGTAAGACAATATCATCCGCATACTCAAGGTCGAGAATTCTTTCTCCAGGCAACAGATCCACACCACCATTACCTACATCCACCAGAGCTGTTTCCAGAATGTCATTGATGGCAAAGTTGAAGAGGAATGGTGAGATTGGGCAACCCTGCCTAACCCCACTGCTCGAATGGAACAATAGAGAAAGGTGGTTGTATGTCCTCACTCTACCTGAGGTGTTTGTATATAGGGCTTTTAGGATGTTTATAAACTTCTCTGGCACACTCTTCTTTAACAGACAACCTCATAGACCAGTCCTATCCAATGAATTGATGGCAGCCCTAATGTCAAGAAACACTATGATTTTTGGTCTGTAATAAGTATGACGGTGTTCTAACATTTGGCGGAAGGTGAAGATATGATCAATATATCCTCCACCAGAACGGAAACCGGCCTGCTTTTCAAGAGTCGATCTTCCTCGGGTTTTGAGCAGTCTACGAAGTATGACGTAAGACATTAGTTTGGACGTGATCGGAATCCTTTACACTACGTCATTTATATACTCCTTTTTATCCTCATTTTGTATATTTTTATTTAATGATTACTTCTCAACCTATTAATATGAGTGAAATGGGTTTGAATCCATGAGGGAGCATTAGTTGCACCAAGATTGGTGGTACATTCTGCTGACGAGTATAAACTAGCACGAAACGTAGACATAGTATGATTTCTTCATCATTATGAAGTGGCCTTAGCTTCTGTCAAACACTTATTCAGTGATCTAAAGTTTTAATTAGTTCTTGATGTGTTAAAGATTTTCCACTTACAATGTTCATATCACTAGGTCTTAATATTCTCAAATTTCATTAAGTATTTTAAGTGTATCATAGTTTTTTATTGTTCCCATTCAAATGACTTAAACCTTGATAAATCACCTAATCATAATATTTCACTCTCAAAGTTGTATGGTTTAAGTATGAAGCTATCGCTGATATTTTAACGACAGGGTTGTATCGTCAACACTTATTTTAAGTTGATAAAAATGAATTTCTTGATTGAGATCATTAACCGATTGATGTTGGACCATCACAATTGAAAACCTGGAAGCACTGGACGGCCGTTTCGTCCTATTGTGGAACTCCTCAGCAGTGCGCATCCACGATCCTGCGAGCGGGATTCGAACCCAGGGCCTTCGGTCTCGCACGCGAACGCTTAACCAACTGGACCACTGAGTCGGCATTCAATGGTGATAGTTTCTAACATCAACCAATCCACGAAATTGCGCGACCATCTTCCGTTGTACTGAGGTAGATACCTGTCTCTACCCGACAAGGATTAGCTCCACTGGTCAGGCTGGGACAATCAAATATATTTTGATACAATATTACAGAATATCTTGGTAAAATCTGAGAGCCATCAATCATCTCAGACTTCGTTATTCATTCGCTTTCATACTAATCAATCTCTGTTCTCATTCTCTTCTCTTCAATTTTCTCAACCTTTTGCCTCCAGGCCTTTCGCTTTTGATTGTTTATACATACTACTTATATCTGTCGACATCAATAGCACACCACAATGAGCCTTCTTTATGACTAGTTATCTTAATATAGATGATAATAACTTTATTATATCATTCATATTGTTGCTTATTTATTTATTTAAACACATAAACATTGGTACAAGGAGGCACCAGACAGATATGTGCCACATAAATCATTCGATTTGTGTGAGGGATGGGATACTGCCCAGGTGCTTCAACCGAAACAGGTGATTTTCTTAGGGGGGCACACCCCGACCCTTCGACCTAAAGGTCTAATCCACAAGGCATTATAGCAACGTCAGGAGATGCAGTCACATGGTAGCCGATGACCAACCATTGATTCATACGCCTTTTGTTCCTTTAGGATCCTGTAGCCCATGTACATCATTGATTTGGAATGAGGGTTTTCCTACTCTCATAGGTGGACTCTCCGTGCCAACCAATCCGATTAAAGCCCTGAACATTTTCTTTTCATCCTCTCAATTTCATAAACAACATCCGTGCCACGAGAATGTAGTGAGTAGGACTTCCCTGTTCGTGGTTGTATGCACACGGCCATGTGAGAGCGTTTGGAGAGAGAGAGAGAGAGAGAGAGAGAGCTGACTCTCCCCACTCTCGGCCATACCAGGGCATTTGGAGGCTAGTTTTTAATTACTTCGTAAATTGTATCATATGAATATGTTTTTAATTCATCATTTTATCATTTATATCTCTATCTTTCTCTGTGTTCCACTTTTTGTAGATAATTAAAAGTTATGCTGAATTAGATATTCGTATATTATTCACTATATGTGATCCACAAATTTATACAGTATTAATAAGCGATAATTTAACATCATCACAAATTCAACATAATTCATTTATTAGTATACATGATGCTGTAATCTATTGTCAAAATATACTTTCTACTACTACTGTTACTAGTCATAATAATAATAATGATAATTCAAAGAATTCAATAGAAGACAAAACTATAAATTTACCCATTCAAAATATCCCAGTGACTTATTGTAATTCAACAGTTACAGTAGATATTATTACAGATAAATTATGATTACCAACTGAATTATAAAAAAGAAAAATTATTCTCTATCGTTGTTTAATTTTCATTAGAAATCAAGTGAGTAAGTAGTCAATAAGTGTTGGTTTGTTGTTGTTTTTTGAAGGGGGGGGTGTGTTTTTGTTAGAATTTTGGTATGTAAGTATAATCAGAAGGGGTTTTGTGGAGATTTTAGTAATTTCAATAGTTGAAATCATGAGTCAATTGAAGCTAGACCACCATAGACAACATGGAAGCACTGGATGGCTGTTCCGTCCTAGTATGGGACTACTTAGCATTGCGCATCCACGATCCCGCCCTCCACGAGATTCGAACCCGTGGTCTATTAGTCTCGCGCGCAAGCGCTTAACCATTAGACCACTGAGCCGGCATCCAACGGTTAATGATGATGACATACTGTGAAATTCTTTTTTTTTTTTTGGTATTTTGTTTTGTCTAGTGTGTTTTTGGTTCAATATTAAGATGTTTCGATTTTAGATGGTTGGAGATGATTACTAAGAATCCTTGAACCATACACACACACACTCTCTCTCTCTCTTGTAACATTCATCCTGTCTCTCAGTTACAAATTTTTCTCATGAGGATCTTGTTCATGACTTTCCATTAGTGGTTTATTAACAGGAATGTTAGAAAACGAAAAACACGTTCAGTGCTTAATCTAATCAACTGGTTGTAGAGTGTGTACTTTAAAAAGCTGAGAGGCTTTTATTCCGGATCAAATGTTGCATATAAGCAAAAGGTTTTGCATGAGAACGATTAAACATATATGAACCTGCTTTTGTCACAAGTTACCATGAGAACATATCTTCTCGTGTACTCATTAATAAAGGTTCGTGGAAAATGATGACTTTTTTGATAGAAACAAATCCCTTAAGTTATGTGTTCTGTCAATAATATCATAGTCCTTATTGAAAATTTAGTACTTACAACAAATTAAACAAATAATGTCTCTTTGTAGTTTATATACAAGAAGACCAGACCGCATCACACCATAAAAGCAGAAATAATAATTACACATGGTCAAGCCAAAAAGTAGTTGTATGAAAGGGAGACTGAATAATAAATTAGGAATAGATTAAAAACAGTAAATCGTATAGCAATCGTTAATGAGTCAATCGAAAACTTATGATCAAGGATATATGTATCGTAATTATCAGAATGATGGGATTTGTGGATATCGTAGCAATCTAATAGTTGAATTCATAAGTCGATTTAAGCTAGACCACCATGGGAAACTTAGAAGCACTGGACGACCGTCTCGTCCTTGTATGGGACTCCTCAGTAGTGTACATCCATGGTCCTGTATGTGGGACTCGAACCAAGAACCTTCGGTCTCGCATGCGAACGCTTAACCTCTAGATCGTTAAACTGGCCGATATCCAACGGTGTTAATGTCTAATTTCAACCGATCCACGATATTGCATGGCTATCTTCCATCATCTTCAGTGAAGAACTGTCTTACACTGTTGAACTTCACTAATTACTGCTTCTCATTCGAACTTCGAGAACATTGGTCGATTCATGATATCAATTTAATACTCAACAATCTCCACAATCCTATAGTGATAATGAATTTGATGTTGATTTAGAGTTTTAGTGAGACTGAATTTCAGAGATATTGTTATTAATATTACAAAGTAACGAATTAAATTTATTGTTATAACTTGTGACCACCGATTAGAGAGCAGTGAATTACCGATCGGATCAATGACGCGTAAACCCGTATGAGACTAGATTCCAGATTGGCCCTGTTTCCTGTTTAGCCCAGCCAGTTAAGTCCAGAACACCAATCTCAGCCTCTGTGATAGGAATCATTCTGTTTCAAACATACTGAGTTTATATACCAATCAAACAGACCACATCGTACCATAAAATAGGAAACAACATTTTTACAAGATTTAGCCAAAATGGGCTATGAATGAGCGATGTAGTAGTTAATAGACAGGGAATAATTCAAGAATGGTAAATCGTGTAATAACAGTTCATAGGTCAAAACAAAGCTCATAATAAGTGGGACATGGATATGAATAGTTTGGTTAATTAATAATTATACGATAAAAAATATACGTATAGTATTGGTCCATAATGGATCTCAAAAGTTACCATTCATGAACAGTAATTTATACTTTACTTACACTTTAACAGTTTACTATATATGATGCCAATCTCACATGTTTGATCTTGTACAACGTAGTGTATATGTATAATCTAAGCGGATAAACTTGATTTATTTATTCGAATACATAAACATTAGTACAAGGAGGTCCCAAATACATATATACTACACAATAACAATGAGGCAGGAGTAATAGTTATCATTGATTTGTGTGAGGGCTTTGATACTGCCTGGGTGCCCAAACTGAAGCAGGAGTAGGTAGACTGTATACTAAATATTAAAAAAATTATTATTCAATATTCATTAATTTACTTGTAATATTTCGCTATAGTCCAATAATATCAATTGTTGATTAACATTATTCCTAGGAATTAATCCTTAACATTTTAATAGTATAATTATCTATATATGTACAACATTGAAATGTTTCTCGTTTTTTTCTTCTTTTGGTTTTTTGTCCATCTTCTAGTCGGTTCTCATGGTGTAGCTGCCTTAATCTTAAAGCTTCTTCTTCTTGTCATTATCATCATCATTAACCTACAGATCAATAAGGTAAATCAACAAAATAGATTCTTTTTCATTCTATCCTTTTCTAGTTTTTTTCTCTTTTTTCTTAGTTCATGTATTTGTTGAGTTTTTTTTCTTTTTTTCTTTTGTTTAGTTTTTCTTTTAAAAAAATAAATTTATTCGAATTGTATATTTACGAAACAATGAGAAAGTGACTTTCTTACATTTTCCTCAATTGTGCATTTTATTACTTCCAATCAATGATGGTTATGTGTATATTTGTAGTGTTTATGAATTTCTTTTCTTTTTGTTTGTTTGTTTGTTTATTTATTGTTAGTTGTTTATTCATTAATTAATTAATCTATTTATTATGTTGTTAGTAGTATGTTTTTACATTTTTCTTCAGTTTTATATGAGTATCTATTTGTTTATTACGTATGATTTGGTTAATATATTTGTATATTATTCTAATGTATATGATCAGCTTAATTGAATAGATTGATTTGTCTAGAAAATACATCGATAGCTGGATTTTGTTGTTGTTGTTGTTGATTGTAATGTGGCTACTTACAATTTTTGTAGTAGTTAAAGGTAAACAAACTATTCCTAAACTGAATTATATTTCAGAAGGGGTTTTGTGGAGATTGTAGTAATTTAAACAGTTGAAGCTAGACCACCACAGAAAATCTAGAAGCATTGGACGGGCTTTTCATCCTATTGTGGGACTCCTCAGCAATGCGCATCCACGATCCCATCTCGCGAGATTCGAATCCACGACCTATCACTCTCGTGCTTGAACACTTAACCTCTAGACCACTGATCCAGCAGATATCCAACGGTGTTTATATCTAACTTCCACTAATCCACGAAATTGAGCGACACATCCACCATTGTCTTCAGTGAGTTACTATCTAACAACAGATCCGGTTGGACTGTACTGTTCACTGCTTCTCATTAGAACTCCAGGAAATACCTTTTGGAGACCGTTAATAGTGAGCATATGTTGATTATTATCAGAAGGAGGTTTTGTGGATAATATAGTAATTTTACTAGTTGAGATCATGAGTCAATTGAAGCTAGACCACCATGGTAAACCTGGAAACACTGGAAGGCCGTTTCGTCCTATTATATTTATCGTAACCTTGTTTAGTTCATTTGATTCTTTTTTTGGGCAGATATATGGATAGAGATAAGTATCGTAAAATGTGGCTCATATATATAATTTTGTTCAACTTAACGCAACATATCACCACACGGATTTAAATTATCAAAATTAATTGCTGAGTTATAGAAATAGTATCAGTGATAGTCGAAGTCAGAACGTTACATGGTCATGGAACGCAGTGTCAGCTTATAATCGCAGAAAATACAAAATGGGTAAATGGACAATGATGCTTTTCACCTGTCTATATCTTGTCGGGTAATTACTGTAGTGAAGAAAAGGAGTTTCATTTCTATTTTTTGGTCCTAGTAGCCAGATTGTCCTGCATAATAAACAATACACCGCTCAACTGTCGCAAAACTAAATCAATTTTGTTGGTCCAACACAGTTTTCAAAAAAAAAACTTGTTGAAGATTGTAATAACTTAAATAAGAATCACTAAATACCTCAAACTTTAGAACAGTAACAAGAAATGAGGAACATGTTTCTTGAATCTCATTACAGATATATTTATATATTAAAGAAAACTTTACATTGACATTTTTAAACAAGTACTAATCTTAATCTAATACTACATTCCGATTGGTTTGATTTCATTCATTCAGTAATAGAAACAATGAAATTCGAGAGTATGACAATATATAAAGTTGGCTGTAGACTTCAATAATTCCTAATTACGAACGACTGAGATATTCTGTTATTATAAAATTAGATATATGCGGACTATATAACTTACATGTAGCTTATTAACAGTAATCCCTAGCATTATGAAAAACAAGGAAGTTGAAGGTTTATAAAAGAATTAGTATTTGGCAAGTTGAAGCAGAAAAAAAGCATAACCTAAGGATAGTATTTTATTTATTTAACCACATAAACATTGATTCAAGGAGGCACCAGATAGATATGCTCCACATTAATCATTCGATTTGTGTGAGGGATGGGATACTGCCCAGGTGTCTCAACCGAAACAGATGGTTTTATTAAGGGGCCATACCCCGAACCTTCAAAATAAAGGTCTGACCCACGCAACATGAGAAGATTCAATCCCATTGTAGCCGGTGACCAGTGATTGGTTCATATGTCATTTGTTTCCTTAGGATGATAAAGCCCATGTACATCATCGGTTTGGAATGAGGATTTTCCAACTCTCTTAGGTGGACTATCCGTGTCCACTAACCAGTTCAAAGCGTCGAACATTCGCTTTTCGTCCTCAATTTCGTAAACAACAGTAATGCTGCGAGAAGGTAGCGAGTAGGACTTCTCTGTTAGTGGTTGTATGCACATGGCCATGTGAGAGCATTTGGAGAGGGAAAGCTGACTCTTCCCACTCTCGGTCCTATCAGGGCATTTGGGGCTGTAAATGACGGGATGGTGGAGGAAGTGCTCCCGGCCCACTGGTTAAGCAGACCACCTACCGAAGCAGGCGTAATTTTCCGTAACGAAGTAACCACTTCTATTGTCCGACTTTAGGACAGTAAGATTAACAAACTAAGTAACAGTGGTTATAGCGGGAATATGAATGGGAAGGAAATTTGCGCGGTAACCTTTTAATGTAAGGACTATAATTTTAAAACAAAAAGTAGATACAAATACATCACACTGTCCAAATTAATTCAGGAAATTTGGTAAATACTATATGGATTTGTTAAACTAACTAGGTTCAAACATTTTGATCACATTCTTTTTCCTACAAGCACCTAGCACAATGAACATATTAGAAACACAGATTACTTAGACACCAAACTATGCACTTCCAGACTACTGTTATACCGTTTAAAATATTTTATGTCTAATCAGTTTAGCGTCGGAATTATGAAAACATCTATTATTAAACGTTCAAAATAATGAGTTGGTGAACCCTATATCTGTATGCTAATCTATTTTGTTCAAAGTAATGGTCTGAAATGTCTCCATAACACCTAGCTAACATTGATAGTAGTATTTAGATATGTGTCATGGGGCCTGATGGCTACAAAATGTAGTCCCTAGGATTAAAAACAAGTGTGATTCGGCCCAATCTTGTACTTCAACACTACAATTTTGTTCCTTCCCAAAATGTACACTTTTGTTTCAGACAGAATTTTCTATGACTTCCTCTGAAACAATACTGAGGGTGGAGCTAAACGTTTTAAACAAATGCACAGCCATACTGTAAATTTTATGACCAATTAGTTTGTGTGAAAATAATAACTACTCGTAATTTGTAAGTAGCGTAAGTATAAATTCACTTAGTACTATTCTTTCTGAATTTGACACTAAATGATTATTAGTTGAAATCATGAGTCAATTAAAGCTAGACCATCATGGGAAACCTGGAGGCACTGGATGGCCGTTTCGTCCTAGTATGGGACTCCTCATCTCGCAGGAGGCGAGATCGTGGATGCGCACTTCTGAGGAGTCCCATTCTAGGTCTAGCTTTAATTGACTCACGATTTCAATTATTGATATTTCTAAAATCTCCACAAAACCCCTTATAATACTAAATGATTAGTTCAAAATTTCAGTTTTTGATAATTCCTTATTAATTGTTTGTGATCCTCTTTATTAAATTGTTTCGTAATGAGTTCAGTGAAGTTTATGCAGTTATTACTGTTTTTTCGTTCATGATCAGTAAGGAATGGTTGTACACAGGTTGGTTACTGAATAAGTTCGTAGGCTTTTAACAAGTTTTGTTTTCTAGAACATTTGATGAAACTCATGTAGAAAATATTTATGCAACTATCATGATTAGTTTACTAGGAATGTAATTTAAAACTTCATCTATATAGTCAAAAAATGAGTCCCTATATCATTTTCGATACTAATTCCCTTTAATTCAACGAGTTCATTTACAAATGTTCCCTATTTTTGTCAGGAAGATTAAATAATATGTCGTCTCAAGGGGGTTTTCTGTCAAGTGATAGTCATAACTAAATGATATATATATGGTTTCATAGCAGATGGAGTGATGTATGAGAAGTAAAACGCACCTTATTTTATGCCAGTGATTGAATAATACGTCTTTATTTCTTCTATCATTATAATGAATTTAATCTATTCACTTGATATTGTTTGTTTGAATCTTCCCATTGATGTTTAGGACTGCAGTTGATCAGTCTGTTATTGGCATATGTGCATACTGTGTGTATCGCCTCGATATAGCCTTAATTCACAAGCACTGGATGCAAAGATGGATAGTGGCTAGTAGTGGAATCTAGGATGCGTGTTTCGTCCTATTTGTGACTCATCAGCTGAATATACCCGTATCTCAGTTGTTCACCCTGGGACTCGAGCCTATCACGTTATCCATTTAGCTAATGAGATGCAAGTACATCCAGCTGACGAGTCCCAAATAGTATGAAACACCCATCTTCAATTCCACTACTAGTCATTATTCATCTTTGCTTATAGCATAAATATGTTTCATAATTATTTTTTCACAACTCAGTCTAATTGAATGGACTTGTTTATTATCGCTATAGTCGTCATAATAATAATAATAATAATAATAATAATAATAATAATAATAATAACCTTATCATCTTAATGTATATAGTTATTATACCATAAATATTTTATAGACTATCTTCAACATTAAAAATAAGACATAAGATATAAACTTTTAATTTGTTGTTAATATGTCTAGGATAATTAACACAAATAAGTAGTATATAAATATATAGACAAAACTTTTAATTTATCATGATAAAGACAAAATAAACTATTTGTTTATAATATAGAATATTAAACATGAAATTTATTGTAGATTTATTAGATTGAATGAAATATCAACATCACCATGTCTTTGTTCTTTGTATTCATCAAATGTATCATTTCATTTATATTTGTGAAAATTAGTAGTATAATATAATATATGAAATTGTTTGATTAACTAAATTAAATTATATTTTTTAAACAGACTATTCATTATTATTATTATTATCATTATTATTATTATTGTGCTATGTTTGAAGTGATTACAAGTTCATCTAATCTATGAATGGAATAAAGAATCTGTGACTAAAGATTAATAAACTAGCTTATCTAATGCGTCCCAGCCTAATTAACCCGAGAGAGAAGTTCAAATTTGAAATCAGTTTAAGTTTGGAAAGGACAGGAGGCTTGATGGCCTGTGTTGGTCCCGGCAATGGTGGTCTCTCAGTTGATCCAACTTTTTTTTTTAAAGAGTCGACGAATGAAGCCTCAACCACTTGCTAAGGTAATGAATTCCACTCGTTGATGATTCGATGGGAAAGTCGATAGTCAGCTGACAAGTAATTTGTTCTGGGCTTGTGAACTTTTTGGAGTGTCCTCGTAAATTCTGCTTTTGAAGACAAGAAAAATGAGGGCATATCAGGTGCAAATTTATCACTAAGCAATTTGAAAACTGTAATC